CAGGCCAAAGAAGGAGAGCCTCTGCAAGGCCGAGAAACTGAGGCCGCAAGACCCGTGCTTTCACTGAGGCTACGGCTTCGGAACCTCTGCAACTGCAGGGTTTGGTGCAGCGACGCTTGCTGCGACCTCACCCAGCGCAACCAAAACAGTAGCTCAGGTGATTCTTCCGCAATGTCATCCATGACAGAATCTGAGTCCATAACCATGGCCGCTGCCATCATGGCGGCTGCGTCACCACGCAGCTTTGGCGTCACGAAGGTCTCGCTGCTCGGCAGCCTGCCCGTGCCGGCGAGAAAAAGGGGTTCGAGCCCGAGCACCACAACTTGCCGCTTGCCTCAGGACCACGATCAGGCCAAAGGCCAGCAGCACCTGACCAGCTCACTCGCCTAGAAGCACTCTGCCTAGCTGGGGGCATCTTTGCAATATTGTGGCGCAAGACCCAAATCTGTGGTTTAGCAGTGAGTCGTGGCCGGCCTGTAGGAGTTCCGTTTTGAACCAGGTGGTCACACGGATAACGCATTAGCTTCAGGGGCTTGGTGTGCAAGCTGTCAGGTGGTCATCTGGCCATTCCTTGTCAGCTTTCAGCTGGAAGCTGGGGCTGCCATCAGAATTGTGGGCTTCAGAACTTCTAACACCTTCTTCCCATCCTTCTTTGGTCATTGGCCAAGACGTGGGAATTTGCGGGCTTCTGTCCAGGGAATAATTATCCCACAATACTGCGCACGTAGCAGCTTCGGAGTACATGGACAGCACAGGCCGCATTAGAAACAAAACGAAGAGGGCGATCATGGTGTTGATAATTCCCAACGCCAAACCTGCAGATTTAGTACATTCAGTGGCATACGGCATACCTGGCAGCTGTCAAATGGGCCTTCGGCAGGAGCATTGAGCGCACCATGGATACCAGCCACAAAGGTCTAGGAGGCAACGAAGAAAGCCAAAAAACTGCCACGACAACATAGCCATCTCTTGAACTCGAAACTGTGAACATGTGTTGCAAGTTGCAAGAAGACCTGCAAGCCAAGTCTGATTCACATTGTGACCTACCTTCTCTCTCGGCTTGCAGCTCGTGCTGTGTTGTTTTCAATTTGTTTCTCTTTATCTCTTGTGCCTCGGGCACCTTTCACAGCGCAGGGCTCCCTGTGCAAATGAGTGGGTCCCGCGCCATCCCGGTGAGCGAATTCGCATCAACCTTCAAGGTTCTTTGGAACGTTTTTCAAGGCTCCCATGCACATCCAACAGAAGCTCGTGGGAGTTGACATCTGTACTGTAGCCCTTCGGGCAAAAGGTTGCCAGGAATGGAAGCCTGTCCAGTGGTTGACACGGGAAGTTCCAGACCTGCTACCTCTAAAGCAGACGGAGGGTGCCAGGAATGGAAGCCTGCCTCAGGGGTTGACACAGGACTTCCAGACCTGCTACCCCTAAGGCAGAAAGCATTGCATGCATGACGGCGTGCCCAGGGCAGTTTCCTGCAGTTTCACACGCCGAGCCAAAATTCTATAGGACATCATAAGATATCACAACACTGAGTTTCAAACGAATTCCAGATTCCGTAGGCACCCAGCCCTCGAAACCGTGAGGCTCAAAGGTTTGGCTACGCAATTTCGCTGTACCAAGATCTCTGTCAACTCCCCAGGGCCACACCGCATCCCAGAGCTTGATCTCAAGATCGTCCCCTAGCTCGTACTCTTTCAGGTCTAAGTTCTCGGCCCAAGCCGACTCGACCATGTTTTTCTTGGTGGAAGTGCGGGGAATGTGCGACCACTTCCTGTTAGCGGCCTCGACAGAGGCATAGAAACTCGGCTTTGAGCTTAGGAAAGGACGCGCTGAACGCTCTGGCAGGCCCTGGGCATAAGCCACCTTCACATAAAGTGACCGGCTGGCCATGATGATGCGGCGGAGGTACTCGGGAGGCAGGTGAACCATGATGTCTGGGACAAAAGAGACTGTTCTTGGCTCGTGCTTGGCTTCCTCCGTCAAAGCACTGAACCTTTGTGGTCTTTCAGCCATCTTGACCGCTTCTGACTTGGGATGGGTCAGTCCCAATGAAGAGCTTAGCCACGGCACAGGATCGAAGGATACAGCATCTTGGTTGAAGAAACGCGTGCCGGGAAACACCCCGTCAGGACGCTTGTAGTTCCAGAACTGTGTGGTCGAAACACCAGGACCTGAGATCTTGCAGCAACCAATACATCACCCCAGTTCTGCGTTGTACGATTTTGCATGATCTTGCATGTGTGTGTTTCAAAAACCTGTGCCGGGACCGGCAATGCTGGCAAGTTTCAGGCCCTGCAACTGACATTAACTCGCAACTGACAAGGGCAGTGTGTTGGCAGAAGAGACAAAAGAAGCCAGCAACAGCTACAGTCAGACTCAGAAAGACTGTAACAAGGCCTCACAACAGCTGACACTGAGCGTAGAATAGCTTCGCAAAGGGAGAAGGAGGAAGAGGCCAAATAAAAGCAGCGGGAATCGACCCCACCGAAACTCATCTATGCAGAATATCATGAATGTGTGCTTCGCAAATCTTTGCAAGTACAATTGCTAAGCTTTTTCTCCATCAAGAACCAATCAATGACATGCCTAAACAAAATGGCAAGAACCAAAAAGAAGGGTCATTAACACTCTAGCAAGCACCAAACTGCGCAAGCAGGATAGTACGAGGCGGAAAATGAAGAAAGAAGGAGCCTGCTTCTGACTTTTAACCAAGAAGCCTCCAATTCCGTGCAAATCTGTCACGTTGAGGCGAGTCTTGACCGTGGCCCCAGCGTGGACCAGCTTTCCGAAGCGCCAGAGGTCCGGTAGTGTGAGGTTGCTGCCTGCTCCATTGATGCAGGCGGCAAAGACGGCCTGATCGTGTCTGATTGGGTGCAAGCTGCGACAAGCGCAGGATCTCATACTAATCGTAAGTATGATGCCCTATGGTGATAGTTTCTGCCAAGGAGCCCCCACGGCTGCACCTTGGGAATGACCTGTAATATGAATTCCTTCTGAACAGTTTTCTGCCAGGTAGGGTTCAAACGCCGTGGTCCATGCATCATTGAGCATGAATTGCAAGAAGGCCTCAAAGAATCCTTCATGCACTCCGTGAACCCCACACTGTGGTAGGCTCGACGTACCAACGTTAAGATTTGTGGACCAATCTGCCAAGCCATGAGTCCCCGAAAAAGTAATGACACAGCTTTTGCCCTTGGCCATTAGGGCGACTACGTCGTGACCATCAACCATCAGTGAGTGAGTAGTGTTCACATATTCTGCCACAAGCTTCCATCCACCTGCCCAGCCATTCGGATACATCATCTTGAGATATTCCAGGTCGTACGCCCAGGCAGCAAGGCCGGCCATTTGGATATGTATGGGCGATGAGTTGGTGACGATGTGGAGGTACGATCGGGCAGGGATGTAAGCAAGCTCCGTGTTGATTTGCTTGGCTGCCATATCGACGTAATCCGCAATGAAATGAATACTTGGCAGCTTGATGGGATGCTCCTCACTTGAGCTGTTGTCCTTGCCAGACTTCTTTTGGGTGTGACCTCTCAAAGCCTGACTTGCCAGTGTCACCTTGGATTCAGCAGCGACAACGAAACCTGCACCATGAGCATGAGCGCGGCTGGAAGTCCGGTTTTCTTTGTCTCGCTTGTATGACGCGTAGCCCGTGTCTGTCGCATCGCTGCATACCACCAAGAGCACTGCGAAGCGAAGCATCTGCAGCATCTGTGCCAGGCTCGAGGGGTGGGTATCGGCTTACGGAATCCCAAGCCAAAAGGCTGAAGAATTTGACCATGATCAGTCTCAGCGTTGCTAGGCAGAACTCCGCGAAATGCAAGCTAGCATCCCTATGCACATACAGACCAAGCTCCGCACTCGCACTCTGCAGCCTGCCAAATTTTCCTGACGAGCCTGTTCCAGCCCTTGCGAGCCAATGCCCCGTGGGGATCAAGAAGCAAAACATGCAAAATGAGCTCAAAACATAGTGAAAATTAACGGAACAGCGCTGCAGAGATCTGCATCGGCTCCATCACGGTCAGCGCATCAACTCTTCAAGGCCCAGCTGTCTGCTGAAGCCTTTAACAACCTGGAAGCGGAGCTGCAGGTGCAAAAGCTTGTGGGGCTTTGCGGAAAACCAAGCAGGCTGTGGCGAGGACAGGCCAGTAATACCGGCAGAGCACCCAGGACCTGGAGGAGAAGCTGCGAGGAAATGTTACAGAGGTTTCGAGTCCCCACATGCTGAGGTTCAGGTCCAAAATTGCTACGAAATCCACACCAGACCAAATAGATCCAAATGGTACTGTGGCCGGGCTCCGGCACCGTGGCACTGAAACTCCAGCTGGCAAAGCAATCTGGTTACGCTGAGGTCCGCGCGCTGCAAGTGAACAAACGGCGACCCTGACACCTAAGCTCAAAGTTTGAGCGCTAATCATCCAGAAAAAACACAAATCATTTGCAGCTGCTGCTGCCATCATATGCTTTTCTTCGCAAATATCTTTGTACCCATGCAACAAGACCTCGCTCCTCGTGCGCTGCCTTCAGAATCCTCACCCCATACCACCCCACCCAACAAAGCTACCAAAAGAGACAATGCAGGAATGGCCCTCACATTGCCCTATGGCCCCCTTTAAACGGACCTGGGGGTTGCCTTGTTTATGATTTGAAGCATAATTCTGCTGTGGAGTTGAAGATTACCTGAGAATTTGGGTTGGAACTGGAACAATCTGAATTCAACGCATGCCTGCGGTTGCTTTGCCCGCGAGTTGTATGAGGTTCAGGATACGTGAATTTCAGGGTTTGGGTCTGGGGCTTTGAAGGCTTTGGATGCGGACGTCAGAGAGGAGTGGGTTTTTCCTGTTTCACAACTGGCCAAGTGTCGGGTTTCGAGGTTAGAGTTTCGGATTCAGGGTTGAGGCCACGTTGGCTTGGGCTCAGAGGGTAGGGTAGGGTTCCGGATTGGGGTCTGGGGTGGCTTGCAAAATAGCTGGGCCCTCAAAGGTCCTGGGCACGTACAGGTGCAAGGGCTGAGGGCTGTCAGGTTTGAGAAAGAATGCCTGAGGTATGCAGCTTCTTTCAGGAGGAAAGAAGATGAACAATTACTTTGCCAGGTGTGCATCTGCCAGCGTGGAACTGCGGATGTGATGCAAGCAAGCCATCTTCGTCCTTGCTGCATTAACCTTGAGCTGTCCCTTACATGCGTCATCCTCGCTCCTCTGAGCAGCGGGCAGTGGTCCAAAAACAGTACCACTTCGCGCAGAGTTTCCCTGACATCCAACTTTTGACACCTCCCTTCATCCTGATCAACTGCTGCTCTTCTTGCCACTGGCCTCTTTTTCTGATTCATCTTGATGCACTCCTCGTACCTGGCCAGCAGCAACTCTAGCTCACTGGTCTTTACAACGTGGAATAAGGAGGGATGGTAAGCGGCCTACGTACAGCCTTGACTGGCATTGCGTGAATTGGGGCACTGCTCGAGGAGGTTTTCTGCAGCATCTTTCCAGGTCATCCGGACTGCAGAGGATCAAATTTGAAAGAAAGACTTAAGACTGCCAATTGTCTCTCATTTCTGGTGAACAATGATCTCTTGAATCTTGCGAAGCGGGACATGCCTGCTCAGTTGACCTCAAAGGATGTAAATTGGTCTGCTCCCGTCTTGGGCTCATGCTCATCGACCTTATGTACCTCCTTGGTCAGCTGCTACCAACAAAGACAGTTGCTGGAGGCTGAGAGTTTGCAGATGTATCTAGGGTTGGTTTAGGGTTTAGGGTTGATGGATGTTGATAGTTCAGCGCAGGGCGGATGGATCAGGGATTTTGCATTCGGGTGGGCTCAAGATTGTGGATCCTTTGGTGGGGGATCGCTTGAGTCTATGCTTATTGTGGGTTTAAGGGTTTGGAATTTGCGTCCGCTTCAGGATTTCCGGTCTACGGTTTCGGGTTCAGCTGTTTCGAGCGGTCCGGTTTTGGACTGGCTTAACGGTTGCCGTGCGCACATCAACCTTTGTAGACGCTTTGAAGCTCATGCGTGTTGGCGCACTTTTAAAGACTGGAAAGAGGTCATAGAGGCTAAAGGGTGTAAAGGTACTAAACCCTACACCCTCAACGGGAGTTTCCATGATATATGCTATTATCCCTAAATAACCTCTATGTTATACCCCCATATCCCCTAATATAGGGTCTACAGGATTCAGCTGGCCTGGGTTTCTTGCCGGATTTGTCTGAATCAGGAATTTCGCGTCAGGTTGCAGGCTTTCGAGCTGTGAAGCTTAAGAGGGCTTAAGCTTGGGGCTTTCAATTCATTGTTTGAGAATGAGGATGCTAAGGTTTAAGAACTGCTTTGAAGGGTGTCCCAGTACTTCGGGATTTCAAGGTTTTAGGGGGCTTCAGGGTCTTGGGGCACGACGGCGGTTTGAAAAGCCAGTTTGTCGCGGCCCCGTCCGCCACATACTCCTTTCTGGCAGCCTGCTGTGTGAAAAGTTCGTGCACATGTACCCCACGAAGATGCTTTGTCGCAAAGGGAATTTCTGTTACAAGCCCATGTCGGGCAATGGTCGCCCAAGTCTGTTACAAACCCAATGTTTTTGAATCACAAGCACATGTAAGGAGATCGTCTGGCAGGTATGACGTGAGGTCCCCGTGTAAATGCTCTTACGATTGATTGTCGGCCAGGGTGCGTTCACAAGCGAAGAAATCGCGACTGGGGCGGCCACAGAATGCCGGTTTTGAGATGCTTGGATGCGGACTGCATTTGAGTAGAGTGCCTCTTTCTCCCCTGACAGACCCCACATGCAACAATTGCCTGGATGATCTTGCAGGTATTTTCCTTGGCGCTACAGAGGCAGAAAGGCTTACTTTTGCATGTGGCTCATTGCATCATCAACCTACGGACTCAACAAGTCTCTAGGCCGCCAGAAGCAACAACTCTCAGTTAAGACAGAAGTCGACCACTGGCTTGAGCGGTCGCCATCGCCGCTGCAAACTCTTCAGTGGACTCAATGTTGTAGTGCCACTCCTGCATCATGCTAGAAGTCATGCGGATGGGCTTTGCATGGAGCTTAGGGGAGTCTTGAACTGCTCGCCTTGGGGGTCAGCGGCTTGTCTTTGTCCAACCAGATCTCATCAAAGACGGCGCAGAATGGCATCACTGCAGGACATCCGCACATCATGGCCTGCAAGAGTGCAAATGCGGCCCAATAGCTCTTGCAAGCGTGCATGCCCTCCAGCCCCCTCAAACCAGTTAGCCTCAAGACATGTGAGGCCAAAGGTCTCTGACAGGCTCATGGTCACGAAGCAATCCGCAGATCTGTAAAGCTGCGGAAGCTCCTCACGTTGGTGGATTCGCTGGCAGATCTGGCCAGTGATGCAGTATGCAGCAGTCCTGGTGAGGGACGTTACCCAAAAACACCTTGAAAGAATCGTCAAGGGCACAAGAAATAAAGCTGGGCATGCCAAGTGCCATAAGTGATGTCCATCTGCTGAGGCTTAGACCACCCGCAAGCGAAGCCTTGTAGCCTCCTTGACAAGGAAGTCCTCACAGCAAAGCAAAAGGGAAGGCCTGGTCGTTAGCACCTGAGGGAACATCCCTCTATCTCCTTGGAAGGGCCGTCGCCAGCAATGGCCAGCGTGCCCTTGACGCCCTGGCCTCCTTCCTCCCAGCGTTTCGAGTCTCCCAATGTGAGACCGCTGGGTATTATATGGTAGTAGTACCATGTACAGAAATGTCAGCTACCAGCCTCCTTGGGCAGCAATGCCTGGAAAACTCGCTCGGTGCCCTGGTAAAGCGCAGCTTGCCGAACCGGAAAATACATCCTCTCGCACGGGCGGTGCCTTTTCTGCAGAAAGGCGCTGCACCATGAGGAGGACCTGGCCATAAGCCCTAAAGGAAAGCTTGACCTTTGCAGCTGTTGCTGATCTCTTCACACCCACAGAAAGCTGAACTGGTCTGCTCTAGCCCAACTCTTGTAGCAGCAGGCGTTCTCAAATCAAAACAAGAGGCCTTCTCATCCTCACTGTCAACGCCAAACTTGCGCAAACGGACATCTCGACGTTCCTCTGAAGTCAATGCGAGCTGCAGGCTTTGCAAACAAAGCAGGCAAAGGCAAGTGACTGATACCGCCCTGGCAACACTTACCCTTCAGCCCTACAGACGATCTAACGTGTGCCAAGTATCCGTGCTCGAGGCAGGAGTCGGAGTGAAAGTGTCGTGCGTTCCTAAGAAACTGGATTGTAACACCTCTAAGCGGGCAGTCGTGCCAAAGCGCTCTTGCACAATGGACCGGGGGCCAAGCCAGATGGTACCCGCCGAAGCTTGGCCTCGTGCTCCTTCGAACGTGATGCTGGGCCATGGGGGACCAACATTCATGGAGCTGAGGCTAGCTGGCACCTAGGAACCACAGGACAAGTACACGCACTCCATCTCAGGCAAAATGCTACCAAGCTTCCCAAGTGGCAGGTTAGCATGAAGCATCAATGTAGATTTACAAGGCTAGCATTCGCACTCTTGCATCCTTGCCAAGGTGATCCCTGGCGAAGCACAGGGTTGGCGCTGAGTTAAGCGTACCCCACTTGATGGCCGGCCAAAGCCCAAGCATATCATACCTCAGTCAACTCCAGGGACCTTGACAGCCTTCGACCCGGCCTTTGCTATGCCCCTGGGGTACGTACATTCGCAAGCCAAAATCAGCCACAAACCTTTCAAGCAAGTACACGAGCCACTCACCACGTCGCTCAAATTCGCTCAAGAATGCATGTTGCCTGATCGGTACCAGCTTGTAGGCGAACATGTTCATCTCCACGTGGTGCGAGCAGTAAACCTCTGCAAGAACTCACCACAGTCTTAGTCTCAGCAAGGCAGCAGCGAGCCATCCAGAACCTCAGGCTGCTTCGGGAATCCGTCGCCAGGCGCATGTGGACAGAACGAAGGTGCCAATGAGAGAGGGGTAGACCAAGTGAACCTTAAGTCACTTCAAAGCACGCACCTGACGCTGGGCGAACGCTTCTGCGATCAGATAAGATAAGCACCACATCCCACGTGTGAGCACCCAGAAACCAAGCCAGCTTGACCTGACGATCATCTCTTTTTCCGCACAGAGCAAATGAGAGGAGCGGACCCTCGACTGCTGTGGTTCCAGCTCCAGGTGCATAGCCAATCCTATTCTTGAGGTTGAAAGCGTTAACAACCTGGCCACCACCAGCGTGTGCCAAAATATCCAACCTTTGTCTTGCCTCGCTTGAAGCTCAACTTAGCCTGGCGTACCGATGGAATGTTGGGATGGTCAAAGGATGTCTCCTTGGAGGCCTCGTAGGCAGTGCTGAATACGATCACCTGCGCAGCAATCAAGGGGAGATTAGCAATCATCCCCATAGCCCCCGAGAACTGCGACCTCGTGGCCCTTGGCCCGCATCTCCTGGAATTAGCAGCTTGCATCAGCCTGCTTTCTTTTGCTAGATCGTGCATTGCCGCGCTCCTTAATGTATGCATGGCAGCGGATGGCGATGCCTTACTGAACAATTTTCTGGCCGCTGTGCCGAATCACACTAAAACTGCTTCTCCCGATAGTGCTTAAAAAATGATAACGCCTGTGCGCATGCCCGGGCATTCTATCTACGAAGTGTTTACCTGTGGCTTGGTCCACACCATAACACACGGGGAAAACTTCCGCTTACAGCAGCATGCATTTCCAGTATGGACTAGGCCCCATGCCATGCGTCTGCGGCGGCAGATAATCCGTAACTACAAGAATTCGACGATTGGCCACGGGGCGGCCTGGATTTCGTGCTCTCTTGCAAAGCCGTCCAGCAGTGCACAATCCGTTCGGCTCGCAGCTTGAAACGCTGCTGTCTCTACCCCATGTATCCTCAGACCTTTCCCTTACCCGGTGCCTGTTGCCACCCCTGTGATGCGAGCAACGAGGCGAAGGAGCTGAGCCTTGCATGTGACATCATCTGATTTGAGCAGCGCTATTCAGCCATGAGCTCTGATGCGTTACTGCTTGCCCCATGTTGTATGCCCTCCCCACACCTGGCTCAAGGACGCATATGAAGTGACAACGGTGTGCCTATATTTGCTGAGCGTCTCGCCAGGAAAAAGACCGCGTAGCTCAAACACAGACGTGGTAAATACATCACCTTCCAGCCAAGGAGAGCATCAAGTAACATGCGGCAATCTCTCAAAGCTGCCCTCGCATCAGACGCAACATCTGCAACACCCTGCCAGGGTGAAGAATAGCAGAACCAAATAATGCGTCCGCACAGCAGCAATCCAACACCTCATCGCACTCCAATGCGTCTCCATGTTGGCTATGCCTACTGCAATAAGGATGAACCGCTGCAAGATCTCAATTGACTGTCTGCTGTAAAGCACGCGCGGTCTGATGCTGAAATGAACGAAGCTACCTGCTACGCTGCACGAGAAGTTGGCGGATAGAGAAAATGCCTTGAAACAAAGGCACTAGCCGATCTAGCTGCAGATTGAAGAAGCTTCAGCTCAAGGGCCGCGAGGTGGCACGACTTGCACCCTGAGGCCCCAGGAAATTACGGGCTGCCCCAAACAGAGACCACGGCCAGAGACCACGGCCAGGGTCAAAGATCGGACGCATCGCAAGGGTCCCAGACACATATGTACTAGCTGCCCCTACACGCTCTGGCCCGGCTCCACCAGAAGAACGTTACCAGCAAGAAGCACCTTCCTTGATCCTTAATCCTACATGATAGCCTTGCAGGACCTGTATGTAGAGTGCCTTCCCCTTTTCAGATTCACTGAGGATAGAGCGAGAGTTGCCGACCCAGGCCATTATCGCTTGCCATGGCAGCGTCAAAAGCTAAGTTGCCGGTTCCAAGTGAACCAGTCAGCAACTCCAAGAGGCTGAAAAGTTACCAAGCACTTCTGGGGGTGCGGAAGGCAGCCGAGCTCTGAAAGTCGTGGAAAACGGCAAAAGCTTTGGGATACAACTGTGAACGCACTGGCTAGCTAGATCTCGCGAGGGTGTCTTGAGGCTGGCTAGATCTGGCTGTGAAGCTGTGTCACGAGCATGCAGCCCTATGAGCTCAACGCTTCAGCAAAGTTTGCGGTCACGCAACTCTTTGCAAGTCTCTGACCTTGAATCATGCAGTGCCCAAAGAACATGTTACCTGAGGACATCATCTATGTTCTCAATCCTTCAACCCAAACCCTGGACTGGCAGCTTTTCAGAACCTTGGGAAAACACAGATCCGGGTCGAATTGTCCAGTTAAAGGGCCAAGTCCCCAATTCGGACGCCAGAATGCCTGGATTCCCAATTACGCTCCCCGATCTTGATTCGAGCGACCCGACGCAAGCGTTCCAGTTACAGATGCACATCAACCCGACAGCCACAGACCTGGATGAAATGAACACATACCAGCATGATGATACATGGAGTCATGCTGCTTAGCCAACTTGTTAGCACTGCCTTTTTCCCGCAGCCCACTCGGTTCTATTTGAACTCAGGCAGACGAGGCAACGGGATGGACTTTTTGAACTTCTTCCTGCAGCTCAGATGAACTGACATTGCATCATGTACTTAGCATCATGCATTTGTCTGTCAAGAATTTTGGTTTGGGCGGGATAGCAAAAAGCGGACGCGGTAGTAACGTGATGCATGCTTACATGATACATGAGGCCCCTCCTCCCAAGCCGCCGCTTGCGAGGTATCAACATCACCTCCGGACGAGGTTCACCTGAAGACCAAAGGGTTGCAAAGGCCGACAATATTCCAAAGATGTAGAAACTGTGCCAAACATTTTTTCTAGAAAAAGCGATCTTGTGTTTAACAGGTTTTAACAGCTCCTTCTCCGCTAGCCATGCAAGTGAGAATGAGCCTTTTCAGTACTCCATGTCCTCTGCCGCGCAACATACAGCAGATGTGCAAGAGCTTCCCCTGCCTCTCTGAGCCTTTTCAGGCCCCCCCGGGCTGCGTATGCTCGGCTCCCGGCGTGAAAGCAGCTCTTCCAAGCTACAGCCCTCCGAGAGCATGTCGACGGCGTAATCGAACTCCACCTCAGAAAGCTCGTCAGGAAAAGGTACAAGAAAGCACTCAAGTTCAGGCAATTTTACATTTTGGTAAGGTATCTTGCTCTTCCCTCCCTTGTGCAAAAAAGTCCCCACTCCTTCCGTTGTAAGTAGTCTATCAGTTTCAGAGGGCACCTTCAGTTGCGCCAGGCGTTCTCGCATCATGACGATGTTCAGGTCGCGGAATTCGATCGGATCCTGACTCGGAACGCGCATGTGTGGCCTTACCTGTCTAAATGCACGAGACAGCATCAACTGAGGAAGATCTACTCAGGCATAGCCGAAAAAATCTACTCAACTGTTGACCCTACGTATACAGCTTCAGGACCAAGAATCTTGGAGTGGCTCAAGATAAAGCATTGAACCCGCTCAACCAGGAAGCCCACCTCTACGTGGATGCATGGCTCTGGATGACCCTTGCCAAAGAGCAGGAACCTCGCAGTCGGTCAATATGCGGAAACCCAGCACAAATTCCACCAACAGGCTTGGCATGCTGCCATGGCCCTCGGTCTTTCCGATCAGGCTTCTGCACAGAGACCACCTCTGCAAAGCCAACAGCACCCAACTAAGCGTGCTGGAGGAGTCCAGAGAAGTTGTGGCCAGGCTGCTTCAGAGCCCCACTGATACCTGCCAGCTGATGTACAGCCCCTTCAGCACTGCTTAGGTGCAAGCAAGCAGGGCAAGGACTCGCAGGATCTTGCAGGCGCACTCTTTCGAGTAGAATTGCATGAAGCCGTAGAGAAGGTCTGCCTCAAAGCTTCCAACTCCAGGAGCGAGCTGTGTCAATGTCTTGTGTGCCCCTTTACGCTCAGCGATGTTCAGCGCCCCGCCAAGGTCAGGTTCTCCTTTCACACAGACACAGTATCTCTCCCACTCTTTCTGCAAAACAGAGCCCTTCAATTCGCGGTTGACAGTATTTGATCTAATGTCGATTACGCATGGCCTCTCCAGAAGGTGCGGCTATCTTTCCGTCTGCCACGTCTTTCTTGTAGTCCTTCAATGACGGCTGAGTTGCAGAGGATGCGAAATTGAAACGTCGTTGGCACCTCGGCCGTGAGAAAGCCAACCTCAAACGGCCGCTCGTGGGCCCAGTAATCCCTCGTCTCCAGAGTCCTGCCGCACACGCAGGATCGTGTTTACGGCAGTGCGCAGCTATCATCCCGTCAAATCGCCTTTCTTCTTTGGAAAGGAGCTGAAGCGACGGGAGCAGGCCGACCAATTGAAGAAAGTAGATGACCTGATGCTGCACGAAGCGTAAGCCTGTCTTCCGACTCACGGGATTGATGCAATAAAGGACCAGCATGATTAAGCATGATTCAAGTTTCCAGTTGGCGCGCCGCGTATGATCTCTCCTGGCTCAGCCCATCAAGGTCCGAGGGCTGTGCCATGATGGTCCACGAATACGACGAGAGGTTGCCACCCTGTGCACCGCAGACCTTCTTCCCCTTTGCCCAGACCTCAGGGTGACAGCTCACACCAACACGCTCTGACCTACTTCCTCATCTTAGTGGTTCTTAGCGGGGAATAGTAGAACCTAATCCCTGTATAATGGATTCCCTTATGCCATAATAAGAACCAGTAAGTCACTCTTGCTCTATGGACCTACTTACTCTATACATGCCTGCCTTGACCAGAAGGACCAGAGGACGCACCCGCCTGTTCAGTCAAAGTTTCAAATAGTCTCACAGCGTTTGGGCCATCTGGTGGCGGCCAAGCTGCGGATCCAACATGGAGTATGCCCGGAGCAGTTGGGAGTTGTACAGCGGAAGACCTTTAAATACACGCATAGCACAGCATTTAACCTCGTTCATGTCCACAACATTGCATAACACTGTCAGCTCCAAACTGTTGTTAATGGAAACATCAACCTCCGTCAGGACGCTCTTCCTGCAGGAGAATGCGTGTGCCCGGCCATACTGCCAATGGACTCACTCCATGAGGCGCACGTGTCTTCCAGCGTGACCAGGGGTTTTCGAGCTCGAGGGATCAGCTGGCTGACCTATCACAAAAACGTGCTCGCCTGCCGAAAGGCGGAACACCACTTCTCAGCCACCTTGAAGCCCAGTTCTGGCAAGTAGTCAGCGAGCTGCTGCACTGCCAGGGTCATTGCCTAAATCTGTTGGCAAACATAAACAGTTTATCTCGGGCACTGCAGCTCTCCGATACCCGTTTTAGCTCGGTGCAGTTTTGGGCGTGACAGTCTTGAGCTGAAGCGACCTTGGAGGCCACAATGCATTAGCTGGCTACAAACAGGCTACGCTCAGCTCTCCAAGACCACAAAAGAAACATGAGGGAGTTGAGTTGTGTTGGAAAAGGAAACCACTAGGCAGACAGGCGGTGAAGGAATATCGCTCAGCGACTCGTCACTCAGAAGTGGGTTGCCCAGCCTGGCAGAAGGATGGATCCTAAACAAGGTCACACAGGTTCCTGTACACAGCAATTATCATGCTGCTTGAGAATTAATCCTGCGCAAATCAATGACCGCCAAATGACATGCATGCCACGCCTCTGATATCGCTGCTGAAAAGAAGCATAGCTCATGTAGTAGCTGAGCTCCTGAGATCTGCCCGGTGCTTCCCACAGGCGCTCATTGCATTCTGGAAACGAGCACGAGAGCAATGCCGCAGTCCTCCTCATCTATTGCCACAAGCACATCCAGGTCAGAAGACTCCTTCGCCCAAGGCTTTCTTTGAGGTTGGGTCGGTCTGGAGTCAAGAGTCGCGGGGCATAAAGCTTGAAAAATGACAAGCGCGTAGAAACAAATCACAGGCACTTCACACATTCATCAGCCGCTGGCCTACTGGCAAGAGGCGTGTTTCCTATTCCATCGGCGTCAATCTGTCATTTACGCACACTTGCTTCCTTGATTTCTTGCTTGCGTACTGGAATCAGGATTGCTACCATCCTACAACAACAGAAGAAGTCAAAACTGTCCAGCTACGGAACCTGCAGAGTTTGACTGAAACACCAAGACCTGTCAGGCTAGTCAAGGGGATCGGCCTCGCCAAATCCGTTCACCGTCGAGCCAAACGGATGTGCGATTGCTGAGGGTGCCTCAGGATCAAGTATGTTTGTTTTTTCGTTCCAGCTTTTGTAACTTCAAGCCCTGGACGACGCATCGTTGCGCACCCTCTTGGATACGCATGACGACATCCCGCACAACTTCCTCAGCCTGGCAGCAGAGCAACTACACACAAGCGTCTTGTCCATGACTGGCGCTAGGCATCTTACAGAGCATGTCTCAAAGCAAACTGCCGCCTGTGAGCTCGAAAAAACCAGCCACAGCTCAGAAGCAAAGCGACTCTTTTGCAAAAGCATGCCTGATTGAATGTACAAAGCTGCGCCAAAACACAAGGTTTCCCGCTCCTGCTGCGGGACGCTTCCAAACTTCTCCTGGATGTCATTCGAGAGGTCTGCATGGAGTTTGACCTGCCAATCAGATCGGACCCGCATCACACGTTCTTTTGACCCGCTCTCTGGCCAACAGTCTGCACCTCAGTCTGCTTACTTCGATCACTTCTAGACTCCATGGAAGCAAAGCCTTGTTCACGGAACTCCCGTGCAGGCCTCCTCCAGCCAAGTGTCGAGTGGCAAGCGCGAGGTGCCAGTTGCCAGACCCTGCGCATCCTCCACACGGCTCAAGATGGCTTGGTGTATGTCCTGCTCCTGTGCCATCATGTGCCAACAGCACCTGGCCCGGTGCCTCGTCGTTGGACCCGCTGCGCCTTGCGAGGCGTCGGCGCGAGCGCCTCACAGCAAACATGCTTCCCAAGGAGGTCTGGAAAAGACAGCCTGAAATGTATCTGGAACTGGCATGTCTGTCAAACTTGAGGTCCGTTGGCGGTTTTCCCTACGGTGCGGGCTGTGCAGTCATAGAGTTGCAGCAACTCTCAGCCAGGCACGCTGCATTCAAGTGTTCTGACATGTACAGAATCATAGTATACTATAATGTCTTAGAATAGATTATCGATTCCTATAATGTACTATGATATTCTACTACAGACTATAATTCGCAATAACTTGCCCTTATATACTATAATAGGTTAGAATATTATCTTACAAAAAATTATGCCCTGAGGGCCCACGTTTGTGGGGTTTGTTAAATAGCCTGAAATCTAAGTATTTGATAATTTTCTGAGTTTTGTGTACTTCTTATGTCAATATAAGGGTTACCCTTTCAAATGCGCTATGGAAAGTTCCTGAAGGTTAGTATCCTTCGTATTCATGATGCTAAGCATGCCTTAGATCATAGGAAGAATATACAAGAGAGGCTCGAACCAACAAATTCTCTGCCTTTTCGTGCTACCGATTATGAAGTTCATAACATTAAGCTCCATGCGAAACATCCACGTGCCGTGCCAAGAACAGCAATGCTCATGCTCACACTCGTTAAAGCACATCAGAGACGCCACATGAGGATACATGAAACTGTCGAAAATATATTCGGCATGAGCAGATGGCAAGTATGTATATGCATAATATATACATATATAACACCAGTAACTGCAAGACTCGCAACTTTTATGGAGTAGCATAGACTCATGTTCTATATATTAACACATGTGGTTCTGTTTTATGGGTTTTGTGTGTTCAGAATCTTATTCTTCTGAGAGACCCCCTCTACTGATACGTGCACACATGAATGCTTAGACCAGTGCACTCATACTGAATGCTAAAACGATAAATTCTTGAAAATAGTAGAGATCGACAATGCTCTATCGAGCAGTTTGAAGTGCAAGGGCCGGAAAACACAGGATTATCCAGTAAGTCACCCCAAAATTATAAGGGTATTAGTGGGATATACTTGCATCCATCACTATGAGGTAGCTAAGCTACTTTCCACACAAAATTTATACGGGACTTCGAGGGGTTTCCATGCAAATAGCAGATAATACATATGAACAATGTCAGAGCAAACTGCCATGAAAGTGTTGGGATCATGCTCCAAGTTGCAGACTCGATCTGCCTTTCGCATATATACACACACATGAACATCTAGACCAGGGTATTCATATTTAATGAGGTAATGATTGGTGCAATAGGGGAATTTGCGGATGTTATGTTGAGCCTTTTGAAATGGGCTAGCCAGAAAAACACAGGACTATCCACCAAAGCAGCCCCAAAACATGTGAAGGGTATTAGTGGATACATAAGAATAACTTTTGGACTCTTCGGATACTAAGAGTATGGAGAAAGAGCATACCAAATATGATTTTCTTTTCACACTTATGCAAATGAGATTCCCTAAGAATGTTTTATTGCATAAATATGGAACGCAGTAACAAATACAAAACTACCTAATAAGGCCGCCGGGAGAACCGATAACCTACGTTCCTATGAAAGGAATAGAATTATCTCTTCTCCACAATATAGGTACAAGAGCAATGCAATTGACTTGAAAGAGGTGGAAGCTCCAGTTCCTTGCAGGTGTTTTTCGATCCCATAATAGAACCTCAATAGAATCAACAGGAGCTGAGTCCTCTTCCATATAGAGGTGAATACGCTGTCAGCTTATATCCGACTTCTCAAGTCTTGGGCTTCGTTTATATGTAAGCCCCTTATGTATAACATTGCCATAGTCGCCAATAGATTCAATGTTCTGATTAGCTGCTACCTTCCAGTCACATTTATTCAGGAATTGTGCCTCCCTGAAGCTTAGAGTACGAGGACTTCAAAGAATAGGAATGTGGATGGCAGGGGAGTCTCCTTCTTAAGCGATGGAGACGGTCGCCATATGGTAAGAATTTTCGTAGGATCCCAATGTGCATGGTGGAAAGTATCAAGGGGACTCTTATCTCATTTCTAATGAGAGGATGCAGAGAGGAACTTAATACAGATCAAGGTGAGCGGCGCAGGGCTCAACGCATGTGGCAGTTTTGGGGAAGGCGATCAGATATTCAACTGAACAGCCATATCCTGATGGATCGTCTTTAGGAAGACATATGCAGATACATGATACCGGCCACGCATATCTCTACATGCACATTACCCTCTTGGATGTGTAAGTTGATAAAAGTATAAGGCTTATCTGGTAGGGTTTTACTTGGTAAGGAACCAGATTTCGGTATAAAAATGGCTAAAAATCATCAAAAAACATTGCTTTTACGTGAGAATATGGGCCCCAGGGCGTAACACACTCCAATCTTATATAACTTACCATTACATATTACATGACCTGTACGCAGCAAAAGCCTCCAGATTGCTGCTGCGGCAGGGACCAGACTTCTGCCTTTCAGCAAGCACCGGCACAAAAGTGTACATTACGGTGAATTAGGATATTAGGGTAAACTATAGTAGGTTGCAATATGTTAAAATCCATGGGTAGTGAGCTGGTCTTGACTCCTCTTCTGGTCTTTGCCATTAGTTCTGTTAGCACCGCAGATTTTGTGGAAAAAGTCGATTGGGTCGGATTCATTTTTATTTGAATCAATGTCTTGGCTCAAAACTGAGAAATGAAAGTACGCGTGAAGCTTTCTGGAAGCCTACCATGTGCCTGCCGGTTTAGGGGTTGTGTTTCTTGTTGGGAAGTTTTCTGCATTGTGGGCTGCGAAACTATATGAGCTGCCTGCTTCTGGAGGAAGACTATCGGATGCATGCATGCTCTAAAACAGTTATCAGAAGAGAATAGAATCTTACTCTATGTTGGAGCCAAATTGTCCCCATGTAAAGGACCAATCGCATGTTGGGCATGCAGAGCCAGCCTTGTGCAAAGCTTGGCCGGCTGTGCCCATCCCTGCACCTGGCCATGTTACTGCTTGCGGAGTCTTTGTGGGTGTAATTGCTACTTATGACTTCCACTTCGATCGGAGTACTATGCTTAATGCTTCTGGATTTCTTGTCGCTATGCCTCATTGTTTGACTTCGCGCTACTAATGATACCATTTTGCCTGGGCCCTTGCTCCGACAGCCTCGAGCTCCTTGCCCAGGTCCCGGAAAAGTCTCCAGCCTGGAGGCGCTTCCGGGCATGCCGTGTCAGAGGCCTAAAGATAAGTACAACTCAAATGTTGCGTCCCTCTACAGTACCCAAAACCGCTGATCACACTAATTTGTTCATGGATCCCCAACTTTGAACCGCACTGTTGCCCCTGCTCTCAACATAGCCGCCCCTCCGCCCCTTCCTTGCTTGAGGCACCGAAAAAAATCCTTCGTTTGAACCTCAACAGATGCCGTCCTGCTGGCTAGCACGACTCGCTGCCGGTGCCAGCGGATTGAGGGACAACGCCATCTCCATCAGTCATGGAGCCTGCTACTCGAGGTTCTCGTTGTTGACCCTTCTGCAGATGCGCTTTAGATTAGTGAGTGCTTTGTGTCAGGGCCTGTGCTTGTAAGTTCACATGCACAGGGCAATCATGGAATGCGCCACTCCCGACTCAGCCAATGTAAAGCACTTAGTCAAGGGCACAATGTTACCCGATGCGTTTGCAACACTATAAGCCTGCGAGTTACTTCTTCTGGAGCAAGATTCTGGTGCCGCTTTTTGTTGTACACCCTTTGTTGATTCAAAGCCCCTGAAAAACTGTCCTCTCTCTGCTGGTACTCCTGGCTTGGCGGGTGTGAGTCCTTCGTTGTTGCCCTGCGCTCCGCCCCTTCTGGCTAACACTCGCCTCCTTTGAAAAGGGGTCTAGATTGGGTTGGGGGCAGGTGGCTAGCTAGCATGCCTCAGCATGACGCACATGCTGCTCGCTTCGAGAGGCACTGGCGGCAGGCATGAAAGCAGTTTGCATGTGCAAGCAGCGCGTGCAGTGAGGCGTGATATCTACAAGCCCTGACCCACTTTAATGCAAGGATATAGACAGCACGTCACGCACAAGCATTACTTCTATAATATGTTATGACTCAACCCTTTTCAAGCCTAGCGTGAAATAAAATACTTGCAATTTGTTATTAATTGCCACAGCTGTATGCAAGGACAAAATGCCATGATTGCATGGCACCCCCTGGAAACCAAACTTCCGCGTTTTTGGGAGCGGACTCTGAAGCACCCAACGAGCAAACATCCTCGGCCCCGAGATCCGCACGAGAAACGGAGCTTCGACAGCGGCTTTGCTTGTTTTGTCTGTCAGAGGCCAGCGCGATTGCGCCACTCATGCCGTTTGTGGGCAGCGCTCGCTTGAGCACAGCATGATTCTAATCACGCCGACTGCTGAGCGTCACATTATCAAGATGCGAAGCGAGCTTCGCAAGATTAAGCTTTCTAGGACAGCTCGTCCCCGAGATTTTGTAATCACAGTATCTCTAAGTGGCTTGCCGCTTTGCTTTGCTTGACGAGCTGCTTCACGCTACAGTCAAGCAACGACCCGGAGCCAAAGCATGGGGAATCTGCAGTGACATGCTCTGGTCAAAGCAGCCCACCATATCCTGCGTCAAAATATGGTGATCAGCGTGAAGAACGTGTACACCTTAGCTTGCATTCTGCCTGTCTTGTTTTGCTGCTCCCGCTTTTTGCACGTTTCCGTTATGGTCCAGCATTTGCTTGTACACGTGTTCCGTTTCTGAATGCTTTAGACAATCCTTGGAGGCTTCTAGTGCAGAGTTTATCACAGATTCCAAGTAGCATGGGCTGTGGGACATTTGGAGGACGCATGAGCTGTGCATTGTGACATCGTAGACGGCAGAGGATGGTGATGAGGAGGATGATGATGAGGAGAATGATGAAAGAACTTAACAGTGAGGATATTATACTGTCTCAATCAAAGGAGGATGGAATTGATCATGAGAAAAAATGATGATGATCTGTGATGCTGTTTGTGTCCAATGTGAGCCTTGTTGAGCTTTGGCTTGGGCGCTTGTGTGGCAGATTCTTTCTTCAGAATCCTTCAATGCAGGCAAGGCAAACCCAAAAGAAAGACTTAGGAGCGACTTCCTGCTCAATTCAACATGCGGTACATCGGGTCCACTGCCATCCCTGAAGGAGGTTCCGCTCAAGCCAGGCTTACAAGTTGAGCCCTAGCACTGATACCAGGCATTAGGGGACAGCTCGCTCTGGGTCCGAAGTGAGAGCTCTCAACATGGTCTGCCGTAGCTGGAATCTCCAAGCCTACAACTTGTGAATCGTAGAATTACCCATTATTACCCCATTGCTACCCTATATCACCCTATATAACCCATTATAATGGTCTCCGTTTTCTTTTCCATTATCCCAATGTAGATGCATTTTCCAACTTCAGGGCTGGGTAGGCTCTGTCATGCGCAGCTGCCCAACTCACGCCCCATGGGCCGTGCCACATTGATTGGCTAACCCCCAGAACAGTGCTCTGTTGGCAGTAGGTTCGAAAAACTCTCAGCTGGATATCTAAGTTACGGGAAGTTCCAGACAGGTTCCACACTTATCCAGCTTGATGGAATCAGCAGCTGAAACTGATGCTTCACAAGCTCAGAGCAGAGCCAAACCAACAGGATAAGCAACCAACCACCTGCAGGCCAAAGCACTTTGCAGAAAGCAGAGACGCTGCTCTGCAGCTGAACCGCATGGTTGCCACAAACTGTCCGGCCTCTGGTCTTGCATATGTATCGCAATCGCGAAAAATCTCGAAGATGAAGCAGTTGCCCAAGCTGGCAATACACACAAATACACAAGAGCTTACGGCATTTGCAACAAGGGGTTGATAGCTCAGGTCAGCTGCGAAGCAAAGCGCATCGCCTATGCAAACTGCTGCCATAATGGAGCCAAACGTGGACCTTGGACTGATGAAGCATGCAAGTTGTCTTGCTGGTCAAGCGGCAGTTGCTTGCTCCAACTCTGAACTGAAATGTCTGCAGCAAAGGCTATCAGTGCACTGGGAACGCCACTTCAACGAAACTACAATCCCAAAGAGCGCGAGGAAGACGATCGGTATGAGCCTTCAACGGCCCGGTCATATGACAATCTTACCACCAGAATCTTACTTGAGGTGCGGGCCACACAACACAACTCTTGGAATGCATGCAAGTTGTTTGTGACAAGCCACCCGTATCCGAGGATGCTGATGGTTCTGTAGAGGTCGATGCCTGCAATATTGCTTCTCATCAAAGTCTTAACTACGGTGATCTACGTGACAGCTTTCTCCGAAAAAGCGTTTCCGTTTTACATCTGGGCAGGTAGATGGATGGCTCTGTTCTGACGCCGCAAGCACGAAGACTTAGAAGCTTTTCGGACCACCAGCCTTCCTTTTGGCTCATCACATTTATGAGGCAGCAGATGCCAAACGAGCCGCCCGCGATCAAGCCGTAGACGTACCTGTACATATGCCACCAGCCATCATGATGCACAGCAGGGCTTTATCTACCAGAACTCCACTGCATGTCTTCGCATCTCAAGCACATTGGCCGACAGCTCCTCTACTTGACTCGGCAAGCAGCGTAGCAAACTTGATGTTTCCCTTGCAAGTGGAGCGCGCCCAAACTGCAGCTTGCCCACTAGCAGGAGCGCCATGCCTCGCGGAAACCATTCGACTGCTTCAGGCGGTTTGGTGAGCATCCCATTCCACAACATTATTCGGAGGCTGAGCCCTCTCTCAGCTTCTGGCCCAGGGTCAGGCAGATCAGCAGCGGACCACTGAGGTCTGCATCTTTGAGGACTTCCTGCGGGCGATGGCTGTCCACCAAGAAAGGGCAAGCTGATTCTGAGCAGCGCCTCATCCAGCTTTTTGAAGAACGCTACGCCCTGCATTCTAAGGATGATGTGCTCGACGTTAATGCCAAGCTCCTGCAAGATTCAAGATGCAGTGGTTGGCTTTCCTATTGGCACCTGGTGCTTCCCACCAACCCTCTGGTCCTCCAGCAGGGGTGGTTCGTTCTCAGGGTCATCTTCGTAATTGTTCACAACCGGCGGCCTTTCTCATGGAATATGCACTGCTTGTCAGGGTGGCGACCCTCCCTCAGGCCGTGTGTGTTAGTAGAGTGGAGGAGGGGGCAAACAACTCTGCTCATTCCCCTCTCCAAGCATCAACCCTGACTTGTTGTGAATCTAGCCATGGTGGAAATGCATGACATGCATGATAAGTCCAGGCATCCCGCATCTCCCCCTCCCCCCTTCCCCAGCCCCCATTTACCTTCCTGCAATCTTTTTTGGGTTCTGTGACCACCAGCGAATGCGGCGCCGCTAGGTTTTAATCAAGATCCAAGCACGCATGCAGCCAAGCTGCGGAAAGCTTCCAGGTGCCATCTGCCCACCTATCTGGCCACCCATTTGGCCTGGGCCCATCTGGCCGGGACCCATCTGGCCCGGGCCCATTTGGCCTGGGGCGGGGCCCATCTGGCCAGGGCCAGGGCCAGGGCCCAGCTGGCCGCTCATTTGATCACCCATCTGCCCGCCAACAGGTCTTGGAAATTGACCTGGCCAGTGGCCAGAAGGGCCGTGTCAAATGCGACGAACGGCATTAGGCAAACTCCAATCTGCCTCCGACAGGCTGCGGTGGAACACCCGCCATGGGCTGAGAGACCTCCAACTTGCACATGTGTCACGTGAGAGCTCAGAGACGCACAGCTCCGTTACTGCGTGACATCTAGAAACCGTATCTACAGCGCCTACAGCCTAGCAGAAGTCATGGACATGAATGAATGCCAAGACCACCTTCACACAGGCCGAGATCAAGCCACCCTTTGCTTCATGTGAAGGGAACAGCTTTCCACACTAACAGATACAGCAGTATCTCTTCTGATTGCATGATGCCCTTGCAGTAGGCTGTTTCTCTCAGGCTTCTCCAAGTCCTCAGTAGCCTTGCGCTTCTATTCCTTTCGCTGAAGATGTTGTTTTCGAGATTTTGCCTTGTTGGCCTCATCATCTCTTTTTGCTTGTGCATAAGATTGCATAAGCTTTGCCATGGCCAGGCCCCACGAGCCCTTTTGCCAGTAGCGGTAACCGCTAAACACACAAGCGTTGCTGATGCCGCGAGACTTGCTTTGCTCGGCATACTCTCACGCTCAGCACAGAGCTGCTTGTGTTTTACGATATCTCCGAAGCTTTTACATTTCAGTCATGGGTACATTGCCCGGCCTGAGGCGCTTGCGGTGCGCCTTTCAGGTGGCACCGGGATCTACCCACATGTTTTTGAGACTTGCCAGCTGGCACGTTCCTTCACGCTCTCAAAACAGCCTCGCCTGGCGTGAAGAACTGCAAACCAGCTCCAGGCGCCGGCGCCTTCGAGAGAAACAAGTGGTTGCTCTCTCTGCTCAGAGGCCCCACAATCAGTTGCAGCTTTTGACGCACGGTGTCGGTCGGGCCAACGTTGACTGAAGTGGGAACAACTCCGCGGGGCTCGTGCGGTAGTGTTTCACAAACGTCCTACCCTGCTGCTTCCCTATCGCAACAGCAAGCTCACCATGATTGTCGACATGTTAAAAACAACTTCTTCTGAGACGGTAAATGGAAGTATACCAGAAGCCCCTTTGAGGCTCAAGATTCATCGTCAAATCCATGCACTACAAGTATGAGGACCATGGTGATGCAAACAAACGCCTGTTCTGCAAAACCGGTCACGAATTAAGGAAAACGGCTACGGAACCACCACGGATGCTCATGGAACAACGCGTGTGCAAGAAAGTGTTTGGAACAACGGCATGAGTTCACTTCACTGCGGCGGCATTTCCTGAAAGAGCATGGTTGCACTTGCACCACGTATCAGGCGACAATTTTGGTCTGCATCTCAGCTACGGGCCACGCCAAGTTTGGCAAAATCCGCTGGGAACATGAGGTACTCCTGGCTGTAAAGGCCACTGCACTGCACTGGCGATGATGCTGGCTGCATGTTCTACTGTGACTGACCTCGCGCGTGGGTCGGAGAAGAAAGCTTGCAGCCTGGCACTGTTTTCTCTGCATCTTTTTTGATTGTTCTGGCAGCCCCACCTGGTTGGAGACGGTTTTCTTTACCACTGTGGAAGCTTTCCGCAACTTGAAAGCCGTTCTCACCATGGTTGAGCTGAATGAAGCTCCCTGCCAGCAATGCCAAAGGAACAAGTGACTAAATGGGCTGAGGGAACGGCCATTTTCAAACGTGGCCTCTCCCATGATGCCCTCCGCCACATACACAGATTTCTCTGGCAGCTCGGCTGGTATGGACTCACCCGCGCGCGGGACAATGACGACGCCCAATCCCCTGCGACGTGAGTGTGTAACGAAGTGCATTCGGGAACAACGTGAATCCGGGATTGCAGATTTTGCAATTTCTGTTTGCTCGAACCTGCAACCTGTAAAATTGAGAGCCTCTCCGGGAGAAGGCCCCTGTACAGGCCGTTGCTCTTGGCGTGATCCGTGCCGCAGGCGTAGAAGACCTCAAGCAGCTCAAAGTCAACAAATGATCCTGCTAACTCATGCGGAACAGCATGCCACAACCCTCCTCAGACCCCCAATAACAACTCGCATTGTGCACGGAGATTTGGCCCGCCATCAAGACTTCAAGGAGCTTGGACGCTCCACCTTCCCCAGGCTTGTTGATCCTGACCTCTACCCCATTTCACATCCTTTTTCTTTGGCGCCGGGGTCCCCCATCGGGCCTGCAAGGACTTCGGAGGGCTTGGAATGCCTAGGGCCTAGGCTTCCCTTTCCTGCCGACATGCCCGTCCAACCGTTGCCCCGTAAGGCGGATGCGCTCAGTGCAAAAGATAGTCAACCACTTGGCTTTCCGGTCTTCGGCATGAAGAAAATGCTATCACATGGTGATTGAGTGGCATCACCGTCAGGGTTGTTGCTATAATCATCACTGAGAACTATGATATTTGCATATGCTTGCGTCACATGCAATTTCAATGACAGAACCGCTGGTTGTTGCCTGACAGCCGACCACATTCATCAACGACTGCGTTGTGCACCAATCGTTTTGATCACTCTTTTGAAATCAGGTGCTTCTCTGATGTCAAGGCAAGTTGTTCTTGGTCCTGGTGGTCGCATGCTTAAGTCGTCTACCCTGGGACAATCGACTTTTCCTCAAGCTTCGGAAACCTTTTATACAAAGGTCACTGGCAGTCCTGTCTAAGCTTTTTATCCTTTCGCTAGAATGTTATGATCACACCATCTTTGCTTCCTTGACACCATGTTTCTATGGTGGCGTGCGTCGTTTCTCCACTTCTGCCTGTTCTGACTTGCCACAGCGGGTCTTCAGCTGTGGATGCCACAAAGGAAAGAGTTGCAAGAGTGATTACCTATAGAATGTTCGCGCCGGCCTTGAAACCATGGTCCAGCTTCCATTCCTCGACTAGCAACACTGCATTGCCGCGCCTAACAAGCAGTTCGCTGAGCCTTCTCCGTGCTTTGCAGCTTTCTTTGCAAAGCCACCGCCACCTGCCACAGGCCCGAAACCAACAAAAGCTTTGCATCCAATCCAAGCTCGTACAAGCGCCAGGGTGAACACACCCCACTCCGTGAGAATACAAGTCATCTACTGCGGACGCTGGCATCGGGAACATTTCACATCAGCGGGATATTTACACGTCAGAAAATGGTAATCTCCATGTAGACGCTGATTCCAGGGCGACCCGACGTGAGGGTAGATTTTCCCGTTCTGCTGCGGACGGTGGGGTTTGAGAAGAAAAATGGCAAGATTCAAGGCTTGAATTTCGTATGATTCCCCAGGTAGACACTGGTCTTACACATGCCCCAACATGGGATGATGAGATACTGTCATTTCCCAATTAATGCCATCAGTTCACATGGAAAGCTCCTATACATCCAAGCATGTTATGCGTAATTTCCGAGATGAGTCGTATCTTCTTGCATGAGGATCCCCAGTACATCCTGAGACACAGCATGCAACATACAGCGATGCCATACAAACATGCCGCATCATGAGCTGAAACCCTGTGGACGCTGTAGAAACAGCACAATTGCAAGAATTGCTTTTGCATGACATCTATTCTAGTGAATGCTTTTGAGCTGGCTCCGCCAGTGTGGACGCTGCTCAACGTGCAAAAAGCCCAGCCGATGTGAGATTACCCGACCCTGTGTAGCTCAGTCTGTTCCATCCCAACGCTGGAACAACGCCGTCCATAGAGTAGTTGTTCACATAACTTTGTCGGCCCTGAGCAGCTGGCCTCTGGAAAATCCGGCCAGCGGCCCGGCTTTTGTGCCTGCAACAGGATGCTGACCTTTTTGATCCTATTTCTGCTGCAGCTGTTGCAGTTTGCCTCCCAGCTACCGACATCCAGAAATGTGCTGTCTCCTTACAAAGGGCTGTGTCAAGCACAACTGTTCACCTATGCAACTAGGCAATTAACACACTAAAGAGAAAAGATGCTCAGAACAACCTTGACTCTCACTGCTCTTCTCGCAGCCTCCAAACGGAATGGCGATGAGAGACCTGGAGCTCTGGGAAGCTGCCCATGCAATCTGTGGTGCAGGCAGCCGAGTCATGCACCTATCGTTCCCAGCTTCCGAGCCTCCACGGCAGTTTTTGTCAGGTGCGCCAGGCTAGATCCCTCTCAAAAGTTACGCTCCATGGGTGTGCTCCTAGCCTTTGGCTGCACGTAGCCGTCATGAGACGGCGAAATCCAGGCGCCAGCTACATCGAAGCCTTGTCAGTTGTTCCACTCACAGCTCATCCGCATCTACAGTGGTTCAGAAATCCGTCTGCTCAACCTGCAGATTCCAACAACTGTCGATTGATGATTGAAAACATGTGGCTTTCATGAATGTGCCTGCCCGCCGCAATCGCTGAGCTGCCTGAAATCGGTCGATGCAAGCTAGGCTTACACACTACGCACTGCCCTTGCCGTCCGTCAATGCAGCTTGAAAGAGATAGCTTGTTCATGGACATCATCACATGATGCAAGACGTGAGGGCAGTAGCGGCGAAAGGCATGGCGCCTGTTGTAAAAGCTCGGTGTGGCCAAGATGAGGCGGATTCATGGCTCCAGTTGTCCTTACACAACGAAAAAAACTCGAACATGTCAAAGATTTACTCGATGCATGGTCCGAGTAAGGCATCCGCAGGAGCACCGCCAAGTTTCCTGGGACAGTCGGCTGCTCAGCGAGCAGTTCGTTTGCAAACCCCATGTGAGCTTTAGTCTAAACTCCTAGTACCCCCCTTATTAATAGGCCCCATAATACTCCCTATGTAATCCCCTCTATAACCCCCCTTTAAGGAATTTAGACTATAGCTCATGTGACTCCTCCTACAACCCTCCAGCGTCTCAAACTGGAGCCAAGCTGCCTCTGGCAGCGCCGCCTTGAGGATTCTTCGCGGACAGAGCCTGCACGAAAGTCTGAAAGCTCCCCCAAACCCAAAGACCGCAGCTAGTCATTGACCACCCGTTCAAGATCTGAAGTTCAGCATGTCCCACTCCCCTATCACCCAGTACACGTGATCTGGGAGAAAGTCTGTCAGTTCGCAGCATGCACGAACAAATGATAACAGTTATGAGCACTCGGTGAGGTTGAGCGTGGTTGCGTTACATTATGTTATCTTGCTGATGATGCTTCGCCTACCCGTGTATTATACATGCATATCACCACAAACGTTGAGGCTACATTGCTAGTGCCATCCAGCTTTACATAGATGTCACCGGAAGCGGATAGGTACACAGCCATGTCCAGTGACGCGTCTACAGCTACAATGGCAGTCAGCCAACAAAGCAACTTGTTTGTACAATAAGCTCCTGCCTCAACTTGCGCCTTTAGCTTCTCGAGTGGCCAAAGCCCCTGCACACCGTAGCGACTTGCAGAACTACCGCGGCAAACGTAAGAGTTTCTCAGATCGTGCGTCCGTTTGCGGGGTGGCTTTCTCAGGTAATATATCATTTTGGGGCATTTGCTTTGAACAAATCTCACATCACGAAAGCACCCCGAGGCATGGCACTTGTTTCATCTTGCCTCTGTCCTGTCGTACTCCTCTTCAGAGTCAACTTCCTCCTCAGAGGCTTCCTTGGAGTCGTCCAGGACCTCAGAATCAATTCGAGCAACTTCATCTCATTGTGGAGCAATGTCCAGCCTTCGGTGCAGTCGTCGACTTCAAAGGCTCGATGGACACTATGCCCTCCACCATTCCCAGACTGGTGTCCTGGAAGGGTCACGAACTGCAAGCAAGCGCCTCGCTGTGAAGATCTCTGACGTCTTGCTTGGAATTCAACAGTGGGAATGGCTTTGCCCAGCTCTTCGACAATCCTTTCACACTCCTAGACACCCACCAGCTGAGAGGGGTGCGCACCAAATAGCAAATGAGCTCCAATGCATGGATGCGCTCGACGGTCGTGCTGAGGCGACAAAATCGTCATCTGCATGGATGCAAAACTAGGCTGGATGTGTTTCGAAAGTTGCTGTAAATCAGGCATGGATGTGCTGCAGGCATGCAATGCGCCCCAAAACGCACCCGCGCTGGAATCCGATTGATGGCCGGCGAAAGTCTCATGGTCCCTGCTGGTAGCAGAGGGAAGGAGGTGGGGGGAGAAAGACGAAGCGAGGTGTGGAGAAATGCGCCTTGACCAAGTATAGCTTTAGATGTTGGATGGCTGGCTGGCCGACCAGCAGTCTGAACACCCACCCAGAGACAGGGTCCTAACATCGAGAAACATGCAATCTCAACCAAAGCAGTAGCGCCCTAGCTGTTGCTGGAAAACATCCATTTGAAAGGTGCCAGCCAATAAACCCTACGAAAGAGCAAGCTGCCAAGCTACTGCATCTGATGTCTGTCCTCCCCCGTGTCCCAGCAGGCCATGACATCGTAGCACGTTGCATTCATGGCTCAAGAAGTAAAAATGTCCCGGGCATGAGCTTGTTTTAACTAAAGCTAAGCAATCTCCGTTGACGACCTGTTTTCTTTGTACTTCTTCGGCCTTCTTCCACACGTCTGGGACAACAAAACATTCAAAACTAATGTCGTCGATACCCGGTCTGCGACGTTGCGGCTGCCTACCTTGCCCTTTGCTTCGTTTGATGTCCACGGCTAAACACAAACAATGGAGCTACGGAAGCAGCACATGCAACGCTGGACTAGGACTCTCACTATTACGCTATATCCCTGCTCAATAGGACATTTAGGAGGTCCAATGGCAATGGCCTTAAAATTATGTGATGGCCTCTGCTGCTCTTTGGTTTACTAGGCATGCGCCTTGCCAGCATGTCTTCTGCCGGAAACTTTCGTGCAACAAGTCATGGCAGCTTCGCCGTCCATGCTATGCCTCGTTCTTGAAAACATGTGCTCGGTCGTGCTCTTAGGCAAACTGAACTGTACTTCAGAAGGATTCGACTTTGACATCGCCAACCCGAACACAGGTTCAGTCTATGTGTGTATCGTCGCGAATACGTTGGCCAATTCAATACGGCACGAAACCAGCTTTCGGTGGCTTTGACAGGCCATAGGGCTTCTAACTTCACACGTCTTTCTGAACCTGGGTCTAATGTGTACAGGCGAGCTGCAAAAGCAGCAGAGCTCCAGAAATCTCACGTCATCTCAGACGGAGTTTGCGAGCCACTGAGAGGGTCGTGTTGAGGGTCATCCGGCGAAGTTTTCTGGTAAGTTCCTTGAGATCGCAGCGTTCCGTGTGCAGGCAAAGACATGAAGCAAGCCCACGGCACTAGCAGCCCGTGTTCTTAGGCTCCAGGCCGTCAGGGGTGAGGGCAGAAGGCGCCAAGTACGGTGCCCCTGAGAGCTCATACAGCTCATCCATCATGGCCTGCATGGTCACCTTGCGTAGACTTACACATGATCTTCTATAGATGCCCTCTTGCATGAACTTCCCTGTGAAGAAGCTCAGGACGCAACAAAAGATGCCCTGACCTTCATGGCATGATTCTTTCGTTCAGCATACGTTTGGTGGAATTCTTTGAGTTTAGCCCAGATCTGCTCGGAAGGCCTTCTCGTCAAGCTCTTCAATGCAGTCCTCCAAGTTGGCGCCCTGCAGGTCGGCAACTATCGCTTTGAGCCCATGAGCTTAGCTAAATTAAATGGCAGAAACGGGAGTTAAATCTTCCTGCGACGCTTGCATCTTTAAATTTTGGCGGATGACACCCAGCCACCGCGATGCCTGCTGCTGTAGCCGAGAGAAGCGTTGTTTCACCTCTGAGTCAACCTGAGGCCATGGAGCGCCCAGACTGCCCAGACTGCCCAGATCCAATGTTAGTCCGCCAGCCCGCCAGCCTGAAGCAAAGTCTTGCCGCTCGGCGGCTCGGCCAGGGTCATGACTCCACGGAGCACCTCCTGAGCTTGTCAAGGCCAAGGACAGAGCTGCCAGACAGATGGTTTTTTCCGATCGGTGCGAGGCCTGGAAGGTGACTTTGGAGTCCGACTCATCTGCTTCCAACCAGTCGAACATGTCAATCAGATCCTTCGAGTCCAAGGTTGCGAGCAAGTGGCCAGGCTGTGGACATGAATCGATCATGACTTGACTGGATCCCTGAGCAAGATGCTCCCCTGCAGCATGGCTGTGCCCGGCCTTCTTCGGTACCGAGGGCACCTTGGGCAGTCGTAGCCAAAGAGGTGCAGGCCAAACATCATCCACTCTGTGCTTTGCAAGGATACCGCTCATTCGCGGTCAATCTCGGCATGGAACCACATCCATGATCTTCTTGGCATAAAAAGGAACCTTTAGAACGTCCTGCCAGTCTCTCGCCGCCAGCCTTCCATGTTATGGTCCCTCTCTGCCAAACGGCATTACACGGCATTCAAGCTGCACGTCCACCCCGCAAATTCGAGTGCGTGAAAACCAGGCCTCTTGTCGGTGGAGAGGCCGCGTGAAGCAAAGAACACATCATTAAGGGCTTTTTGTACCTGCAGGTTGCGCTTTCGATCAAAGCAGCTGTCGTGATGCAGGATAGGCCACCTTGGATCTTCGTTCACCCTGTAGGGTTTCGTCCTGCATAGGCTCAGATGTAGGGAATTTCTATCAAGAAGCAATGCTGAGTTTCCACCAGCAACAGATTCCCATCAGGAGCTGGCCTTCTGAGATTGAGCCTCCCTGGCGTAAATCATGTTGTCACTGACAACCTGGAGTCAGAACGGTATGAGTCGTGGAGCCAGACTTGGCTAAGAGCACGATAGCCATCGGCGGTCAAAATGCTTCAGCCACCAGACGCAATAGGAGTGAGGATAGGAGCCGCTCAGTTGCTACACTGTTACACTGAGTAGTCTGCCCCAGTCATCACCTTGGCACGTGACGAGGAGATTTGGCATCAAGCCATGCTTAGGACGCATGCAGCGATGACAGGTTTCAAAAGCTGCCCTCGGGCTTCGGCTGACAACAAAGCCCACGTGGATATGATGATGAACAAGACGAACATGAATTTCAGACTTGGACACCTCAGATCAGGAGCTGGCTTGACGGACACCCTTGAAACACCAGCCGCTTCAAGCTTGCGTGGCTGGCCAAGCCAATTAAGGACTTTGCGCATCCAGTAAGGGCATCACGTCAGGCCACTCCTGCTCTGCACGAAGGCCCAGAGCGGCGCAAGCTACACCTCAAGCCTCCACATGCCTAGCAATGACCAAAAGATCAGTGTGCTACACCACCTACCAAACAATTCAAACTCCTCACCGTTCATGAGGACGAAGAGCGTGAACATGGAGTCAGGTACGTTTTGGAAATTTGCTTTGGCGGCTGCAGGGACGTCCTGAAGCCAGCATGTAGGCAAACATGTGCGTGTGCGGGCTTATACGTCCGCCATGACATACAATTACAATTCATGACGCCATGGTGTATGCAATGAGCCGACCTCTATTTCATGGGTTTCTCGGACCACGCGCGTGATCACGATTGCCGACCTGGCAACACAGGCTGCCCACGCACCCTCCCGCCCTCCAGCAAAGACAGATCTGTCTGGGGTCCAAACGCATAGAGCGCCACCATTGTGAGCAAAAGCACCCAAAACATGCTCTGGACAGCCTAGCCAAAGACTACGAGTCACACCATAGAATGATTCAAGACCAAAGGTGTTTTCTGCTGCAGAACTCCTGCGACCTCCTGAACTTACCGAGAGCCCTACACTGCACGGAGGAGTTTGCTCTGATAAGGGGATGGGATGGGGCCCGGCTTCATGGCTGTGATGGCTTCCGATCCCAAACCACAGCCCGCAGACTCTCAGCTGGAAATCGAGCTGCCTCTATCACATGCACAGCTTACGCGTGAATACACAGTTGGCCCGTCCAGGGCCTTTGCTGGCTTCATGTTACAGCTTTCCACATGGTTCTCTTGAGTCCTTTGGCTGGGTACCCGGGTGCTTTATAAGGCAGTCCGACTGATGCTGGCGAAACCGCGCGCACTGCGCACGCGTTGAGGCTTCGCAACTGTTTCCCCGTGGGTAGGCGTCGTGGCTACACGGTGCCCTGGAACCCAGATACCGTATTGAGCTCATGATCACAATCCTCATTGCGAGCCGCACAGTCGACTGACACCAGAGTTCCGTGCTTTCCTTGAGATTCTTTTGGCTCTTGGACTCTCTAGCAGACAATATTTGCCCAAAGAGTGGATGCCAACGAAGCCTCCGCAATGCCCAGCGCGAGCAAGTAAAGCGGATGCACTGCCTGGCGCCCAAAGACTGCCCACTACGCTTCTGCGCAGCCAATGAAAATGTAGCGTTGCTGTTTACTTTCCCTGCAGCCCAGATCCATCTTGGCTAAAGGAACGGTCAAGTCTGGCCATGAAGCCCCAATCCCATGGCACGAAGAGGCGCCTTCACAAGTCTCAGGACCCGCAAGATCCTTGCTCAGCACAGGCTTTAAAAAATGCAAATGATAAACAGAGCTGCTAAAACCGTCTCTGTTGGCAGCCCTACACCAAAGCCAGAGGCATCGGTCCTCAGCATGCGAAGAAGGCGAAAGAGCATGAGCGAGCTGCCCAGCTCATGACTTTGATCACGGCCATAGACAGCCGCAAAAAAGATCCTGATGACCTGCAGCTTCAGACCACAGGATCATGATTCAGCACGTGAGGACCTCTGGCCGACTATCTGCCGAGCTGCCCATTGGTCAAGCGCGCCCAAGACCACTATGATCATGTCGAGCCAATTCCATATGTGGTCCTATCGATGTGGTCTCTGCATGATTTGCAAAGTTCAACCGCCGCAGGCGAAGCATCCTCAGAGGTGAAGAAGCCCAGCCATCCCTGCTTGCGGATGTTGACCTCTAGCTTCTGCATGCTACGCATGACTGATCTTGTGTGGTGTGTCCGTGAAGCTGGTCCAACAACGCATTAAGCCTGAGGGTAGGAACACGGGAGGGCAAGGTCCTAGAGAGCTCACTATTCAAGCACCAGCGCGCCCCAAAGTGCCGCTAGTTCCAGCACTTCAGGCGCTGCCGCGAGCCGGGCCAGTGGATGTTGTCGTACGGAAGACGCGGCCAAAACAAATGTTTCTTTCGCAGTTGGTGTAAGCAGTCGTTTCGTGCAGGTTTCGCTGTGACAGCCTAGTAGGGGAGCAGGGATGGTGCAAGGCTGACAGACTTGCGATGGCATTACAGTGCACCAGCTAATCTATGGCAGACTTTGGCGTAGCTGTAGCGATTGTGTTTCTGCCAAGATTCCAGCGTTCAATTTCGATTTGAGACTCTGTCTTGAAAAAGGCCTCCGCCTGACTCATCAGCATATTCTTGCTACTGAAAGGAGAGCAATCGTCGTGAGACTAAAAGCCACAGGCATACGGCGGCCGCACATTGTGCGCTTCAAAGTTTGGTTACATTGACAGCCTAAAGGCTATACAAGTGAAGGGCACCGTCATGAATCAGCTATGAATGTGCGCTCTGTGGATGGCAATGCATGTGCCCAAACATCCGCATGAAGAACCCCGCGGTGAAACGAGGTCGACCGCCACAGTCTGCATTGCCAGTATGATCCTGAGGAGTCGGCGGCCAGTTCAAAAAGGAAGAACAACAAAACCTCAGCGGGATTGGCGCTGCCAAGTACAACCAGAACAAGGCCTTTTTGCTCATCCTTCAAGTCAGCTCCAGACCAAGTCGTTGATGGGCTCCCACAAGGGCGACTGGATGTCCGTTTCTAAACCTAAGGCCAGTGAAAGCTGTACATCACCACGCCCTCTCTGAGATCCCTCTCGCAGCCACGGCAAGGCTGCATATGACTGCATCACTGGCAGGGCTCCGAACCCATCAGGATCACACTGGTGATAATGACAGCAGAGACCACCTGGCATACCATCAGCTACATCAGATCTGGCCCTGCAAAGGGGCGCAAGCTGCAGAATCCGACTGAGAATCAGGCAGATGCGAAGACAACGCTCCTTAGTGGACTGTTAATGGCACGGGAGCGTTGTGGCTCTGCACAGAAGCATGGCGTAAACCCACAAAACGGAATCAAAACGGGTGTGCGAGCGGAATTTGCCCCAGTGCATCTAACATGCGGTAAGTGCGTGGCTCGGTCCACCTCAAATCCGACCGAAAAAGAACCTTGGATGTACTTAATCAACTTGAACATCAGAGAATGGCTAAAGTCTTCGTAAACGTAATCCTGAGCCTCTAGCCCCGACCAGCTTCACAACTCGGATGAACCTGATAGCTCCAAACTGGGCAGAGGTATCACGCTGGAAGCCCTTGATGGTCCAGGCCTAAGAACACGAACACCACGCAGAAGCGGCAACCAGAAGCTGGATGCCTGCAGTTGGAAATATCTGGCTATGTGCAGCTCAATGGGGAAGCCATAATCCTGTTTAGGAAACATGGTGACACGAAGCAACAGCTTCCTGCCTGCGACTTGACTCCAAGATGGGCGGCATTCAATGATGGAAATATCCATCGGTCAAATATTCCGGCGCAAACTATCACCTTAGGTTTTGCAAGCTCAAGCTGCTCAGCACTCGCACATTTTTGCAGCATGAACGTCAGCTTCTGTGGCAGTCAAGATACGAAATCAAACAGATTCCACATGCCATCAACAGCATGGGCGCAGAATCGCATTCGAAAATGGAACCTCAGTGGACACAAGGCCATCTCTTTGAAGTGGCGGCGGATCTGTGGGGAGGGACCACAGGCTTGTGCTAAGATAGAAGATACCTACACACTCTGTTTGCTCCGCAAAAGCGAAAGAAAACAGTCAAGTGAAGCTGAGCAACAGTCTAAGAATGACCTGACACGTTGGAGCGACATCGGTAGAAACAAAGTGTGCTTTTTTCGGCGAAAACGGACTTCCAGCTCATGAATGCAAACCCCCGCCTCAATAGTGTACAATATTAGGCAGGTGTCGTTGACGTTCTCGAGCACCTGCACAGGTAGCATCCTTCTAATCTGCAGATTTCTCGTACCAGGGGAACTTGAAAAACGAAAACCTCCCATCACACATTTTCGTGCATTTTCGATACTGACGATTGTTGGCATGTGTGGAACATGGTTCCTGCCAGCCCTTGGGTTGAAGCCGTTCAGTCCCACAATCCGCTGCTGATCATCGCCTGCCTTGGCATCCTCATCCGTCACGTCACATGCCACCTGCTGGCTACAACATCAAAACCTCTGACGTTCTGCAGCTCAGGGGTGATCTTGACTAAAGGGCGCTAGGGATCTGCGGGGTCCTGGGCCAAACCCAAGGAGGGCAGCCAAACCCAAAATGTCAAGCTCGGCTGGGCATAGCCAGACCGCAGGCTTGAGAATATGGCCAACATCACTCACCAAAGTCACAGGACACAAGCTCAAACCAAACATATCAGAAAAAAATCTCACACCAAACACATGCAAGAAATAAATCGTGTACCAAGGTCCATTGCAACATACTCTGCTAGTTGAAGATCCTGGTTTGTTACCTGGACTGGAGCTTCGAACCGCAAAACTCTTTGTGTCCTGCAACTGTCACCATCAGAGGTGAAGTTGAAACGAGAATTATAGATGCTGCTGAATCGATCATGCTCGAAGCTGGCACAAAGCTGGAAGCTGACAGGGATGTTCCGGCAAAGAAGGGATGTTGCAGACTTAAGGGTCTGAACACCTATGCGTTGGCGCGACTGTGGCTAGAAGATGGATGCAATCTTGCCGCATTACCGGTGGCGCAGCACCGCTCTCAAAAGCAGCTCCCAAACGATGGTAAACAGAATAGCTGCAATCACAACAAGCTCAGCAGCTGCAAGCACACAAAGACAAATCGCATCCCTAGGCCCTAGCCTGGATGTATAAGCACATGATATTGAAAGCGACTACCAGCCCGGACCTTGCTCCAGGCATGCATCATCCGGAGCGACACAGCGAGGCATGGCACCACGAGTGTAAGCTCCACACATCACCAGAAACCAGTCGGACTGGATGAAGCCCAGAGGGCCTGCGACGTGAAAACTCCCTTGCTTCTGGCCACTGTCTTTTCGCACTGCCACGTTGCTGCTTCATCTGCTGCAAAGGCTCTAAGAGCCAGGCCAGGCAGCCTCATATCCTCCTTACAGGCCAGTGCCACGGCTTATGAGGGGAAATCTCATCAGGAACTGAGACAAGCAAACGCTGGGCCCGTGCTAAGAAGCGGACCCTGTGCGCTTCTGGCGACCACGTGGGATAGGGAAGAAGTTGCTGGGCCTGTGAAAGAGGCACTGAGCATCACCCAAAGGATCATCTACCAGAGAGAGCTGGTCCTGAGCATCATTCTCCGACTCCAACTCATAGAGCTCCCTGCACTGCAAAAGCTACGGCGCGCTTGTCGTGTCTGCACCGTACCACAACCAAAATTGCGTCAGTGTAAGTCACCAGATCAGATCTAGTGTACATGCTAACGAGCCAGTGCAGGTCAAGGCGCGGTTTGAAGAGCTGTTCGTCGAAATCCGAGGCCAGGTGGCCAGAGACCAACCTCTACAGCTCCACTCTTCCCAGAGGCACATACTGCAGGTAGAATAGCGCGACATGTGTAGTTGCACGAGGAAGATGAGTCTGAGCATGGAACGCATGGCATAGTTGCACAGGATATCTAAAAAAACACATACGTGTATGTGGAGTGCGCATGCATGAGCTTCTGGAAAATCATTCGAACCTCTCAGAGCGTGTGCTCCTACTGGCATCCCATCCCAATCAGTCCAGTGCTGCCTTCCTGTGCTGGTAGGCGTCGTCCTGTCCAATCAACACAGAAGCCAGTAGCATGATTGTTAACACCATAACGAGAAAAGCAGGCCGACACATGCGCTATTGAGCTCAGAGTGCAGTGTTCGAGAGCATGCACCAATGTGCCCTGGCACGCCCCGAGGGTCTGACGCGCGAGATGCACGCTGCGATGACCTTGGCTACATGCAAATAGAGAAAGAGGCGACTGTTGAGACAGCATTGAGACAACTTTGAAGCCGCTTGCCAAAAAGCAAACGTGATGATAATGCCGGTCAGCTGAGATCAGCACACGCGCCGATAAGGAGCCTCCGCAGTAAAAGGTGACTGAATGCATAAGCAGCACGAGTCGCCCATGTGCCCAAATGCAATCTAGCAGCGGTGGACGATGAAGGACTGAGCTCTCCTCGTCTGTCCTTGCCATGTACTGGGCCACAAAGAACTCACCGCTGGCATGATGGAGCTGCTTGCGTGCAGACAGATGATGTGCTTTCCAATCAAGCACTTTAGGTCCCAGATCCCAGCCTCTGATCGGGACGATGCTGAGGACCTGAGACTGTTCCTGGATGAGATTCTATCACAGCAAGCTGGCAGCTCGTCCCTCAAGCTCTGGGTGATCGACGGCGAGGACTCAGGCTGAGCCTCCGCCTCAATGATGGGAAGCGTTGGTCCTTATCGGGCCAGTGAAAGCCTTCGTCGCACTTACAGGAACGGAACCACTCCAGCTTCGGCAAACTTGATGGTGTCAAGGCGAAAGACCGTAAATGCTACAATGCTCATATGCAGCATAGCTTCCATTTCTGGAGCTTCCGCGGTCCATGGAACTCTGCAAATGGAACGCTGCGATTGTCCTAGATTTGTACTGCATTGTTTGGGGTGCTTCGCTGCCCATGTGGCATGTCATTGTGAAGTCCAGACGCGAGCTTCTAGCTTGATCGTCATACAGGCATGTCTAACAAATACTTCAACCCCCACTGATGAGTATGGGCAGTTAGGCATCAAGCGGCTGCTGCCGCGTGGAGCTGATTCTCGTCTTTCTTGGCTTGCACATGTTTTTGAAATTTGCGGGGCACGAGGCTTTCTAGCTCTGAAGTTGTCTCTGCTTGTGATCATACCATACGGTTGCTCTAAAGAGCCTTGACGGAGCCTGGCAACGGTTGCATGCAATCAAGTCGAACATCAAAAGCGGTGCGTTCCCCGACTCCCAAGCAGGCACCGTCAAGCAGAAAGGGTCAGTCACTTAGCAAATGTTGAAGCAATGGTGGCACCTGCATGCGGGGCGCCGGCCCAAGTTGCTGGCTCAGCGGATTTACGACCTTGCACGGGGCTTCGCACCACTGCCCCTGAACTAGGATGCTGGTGACCAAGGTCAAGCCGCATGGTCCCTTGGGTCCAGACCGGTTGTCCAGCCATCCTGGTCCCCTGCCACAGGGCTCAACAAAATCAATAAATCTAGAATCTTTGCAAGAAATTCATGTACAGAAACTGCTCTCCCCTGCCTCCCCCGCAGGAGCAGATCGCAGGGAAATAAGTCTATCTCCAGCTGGGCACAAATTCAAATCATACCGCGAAACTTTCACAAGCACATCAAGCGTGAACCATCTCGTGGCTAGCATGCTATGTCGACATGGTCATGCACATGTTGTTCGTTCCTACCAGCTGCTTGAATCCAACTTTTGCCGTGTTCCAAATTCTACCATACGTGGAAGTCCTGTTTGCTATCTTGGCATAATTGAATGCATCTGGCAACGTCGTGCAGGATGATCCTGGTCGGGATCCGAAACCATGTGAGAACACTATGCTCGCCCAGCATGATTCCGCCGGCAGCTAAGCCCAGGGTTAAACCAGTGCGTCTCCCCTTCCCGCAGCAGCACACGCATTTTGCAATGAGATGCTGATGCAGTTTGAAAGCAATCAGTGCCGTTCAATTACAAGGCGATGTTCATGAACTTCTTCTTTGAGAACTGGAACCTTGGCAGAGACTATTAAGACTAGCTTGTGTTGTTCACCAATAGCTTGATGCAAAGGCATCTGCTGATTGGTTGGCTCCCCTGGGCCCCTGCCCCCTTACCAAACAATTCCTCGGCAACATGCCTCAGCTTGACACCACCATTTGTTTGGCTGCCCATCTTGATATAGCACAGGTAGAAGTCTGGATGCCGTCTCCTGTTCAGGCAACAGGAGAAGTCCACACGCTGCACAGCCTGCACAATGCGCACAAAGGACAACAAGCCACCTGCCGGAGCTGCTTCAGGTACGCCTCCCAGCACGGCTGGCATCTGCTTTCGGAAAGAACACGCTTGCCCGCACAACCGTGCCCTTTGTGCCCGCTTCGCGGGCTCGAAAGGCAAAGCAGCAGGAGTTCGGGCGCCTTTGCCGTTTGGCAGTCTTGCGGCGACCCGGCTTTGAACCAGCTGCCAAGTATAAACCTGACACAAAACGCAGCAGGAAGGAGCTTTGACTTCAGCAGACATCCAGGAGCTTGGCCCAGCGTCCCCAGGCCCTGGCAGCTCGGATGCTGCCACACCCTGCGTGCACCGCAGTGCAGCTGGCACATCTTGCCGACTTGATCTTCTTCCGCCTCGAGCTGGCGTGCCGCATCTTCGGGGCTACCGGCCTGAAAAGGTTGATGCTATCCGTGCTAGAACTGTGCCATCGAGCCTGCCTGGGACGCCACTGACAAGCATTTTTGAATCCACAAGGTCAGATAGACCAAAACCTGCAACCAAACGACTTGGCTCGGCCATAATACTGCCACATGAACGACCCTCGGACTGCTGGACTCAGAATGCGATTGGTTGCTTGCTTACACATTGAGAAGTATAAGGTCCAATCGTGCATCTGAAATGTCAAGAACGTGGCAATGCGAAGTCACAAACAACTGGGTGTGTTGCTCGGTCGGCATCGCCTAAGACCTTCCGAAAAGGGAACACTGTTCATAATTTCCGGGAAGTGGTGTAGGGTATGTGATACTGCTCTAGCTCTCGGCCTCAAAATTCTTGAACAGAATGTTCCAGCGAAAGCTCCTGCAAGGAAGCCAGGCAAAGTGCCAGAGTCAAAGCAACCAAACAGCCGCAAGATTCTTTGTTATCGACCGTGTCTACTCCAAAAGGATACTGACATACATGTAACACGCTTCTACTCACATCTTTTTGCATGGGTTCCCAGGCTGCAACTGCTTGACGTGATGGCTGTGTCCTCAATGCCTCGTCCACCAAGTCGACAAACTGGCAGGCGTTAGTCCAACACAAACATTGGGCGGGCTGGCCAAGCACCAACAGCTTGATCTCTCGTCTCACTGCCTCATCATCCAGCCCTAGTGAGGCAGGAGTTGGGGCAGGTCCTCCAGCTTCCAGTGGAGCTTTGGCAACACCACGTTGGCTGAAGGAGACACGCTGAGACACACTCACAGGTCCTCTGTATCTGTTTGTCTTCAGCGGCACCAAGGAGCATCCGCAAACGCTCGCGGCGTTGCTTCCATTGTGCCTGCGAAGCCGAAGGTCATTTCAATCTCAAATCTTCTTGCAAAGGCAAATTCTGCCAGCTTTGAAGCTGCCACGAAATGCTTTCCAAGAAGAAGCAGAAGCAGAAGCTGAAGCAAGCACCAACTACTAGTCTAGCACAGAGCGTTGCGTGCGTAGTGTCCCCTTGAAAGACGTTAATGCCTGCCTCGAGTGGTAAACTGGCATGGCGGCTGGTTGGCCTTTGCACCTTCCTGCAACTTGAGCTTCTGCTGAAAACCCTTGAAGTCAGCATTGCAGGTATCGTAGCATCAAGAACTTGAAGACATAGGTGCTCTACGTTTAGGTTGTCACCTGGTGGAACTCACATGCAGCTTCTGAGCCGATGGTTTAGATGTGTAGCACAGCATCACCACATAAGTAGTCTTCAAAAGATTGAAGAAAAGAACAACTTCCTGACACATACTGGCACACCACCACAGTCCCAACACCATGCACTTTAAGAGTTTCAGCCATGTTTCTCCAAACTGACTCGTCCAGTGCATAGAGTGTCACTCGAGGCGGGGTCTGTGAACTTTCCACAAGTCTGCACATGCGTGGAAACGGCGAAGACACAGAGCAGGTTTTGGTAGCTTCACAAACAACCTTGACCTTGCTCGATCTGTGCCTTGCCCGGCAGGGAACTGTAGGGCACCATGCATTTCCATGAGACAAACTTCAGAATGTAACAGGGTATGAAGACATTGCATGGCAGATCCCTGCTGTAGTCCCTTCAAAGAAGAAATCCACCCTCGCGTCACTGGACCTCCCTGTAGAATGGAGATCAGCTTCAGATCTCCGCCCCCTTTTTCAGAGGTCCCCAAACTCAACAGCCCCGCTGGGGTGCATGATGGGATCCGCCAGCTGCCGCGTGCAGCCAACTTGCTGCTCAACCAAGTGGCCCCAGCTTCGCATGCCCAGCATGTTGTTATCTGCTTGCGGTGCTAGGCTGCTAGGCTGTTCCAACACTATCAGGATGATCGCAAGCACTTCTTGATCTTGAGGCTGATAATTTCTGGACAGCTGCTTCTATCAGGGCCAGCAAAAGCCACTGACCCGCCCGGGGGTTCAAGCACTATCCTTGAAGGCCAGCCCTTTCTTGGAAGACCCGAAAAAGCATGGTAGTGGATGCAAGATTTGTGCTCGGACACCTTTGGCAAGCAAGGGCCACAGGAGCTACCTGGAACTGCACCGTTCCACAGGATGGCAAGTCGCCATGGACAGACCTCATCTGCTTGCTGTCAGATGGCCCAAGACCACAGAATCCCACTACATGCAACCACATTATCCTTTATTCTTTGGTCAAGACGAGTGGTCTCAGGAAATAACAGCAATGCTGCACAAAACGGCTCGAACCTAGTCTAATGCTGCACATCCTTTGCCTGCAATCGAAACAGCCACACTTTGATTGGAGGCAACGTTAAAAGTGAGGATTGTCGGCCAGCCAGGATCCTTTGCAGGTCTCGCTCTGCGTTAAACGACCTTCAAGCTGCTACAAGTAGAAGGGCCAAGGCGAAGTGTAGAATTATGTTTGATCAGGGCGAGACCTGTGAGCGCCTGGTGGCTTGAAAGGGCCAGTCTAAGCGGCTTTGGCAAGCTGCTAAGCTCATGTGCCACTCTTTCTCTTGGAATTTCTAACCAACACAAAGGCAACGGAACACAACAAAGCTCGCAGCGGCTTGTTTGCAGGTCCTTTCAAGCCAGTTGGACAGCATATGTACAAGCCAACTCACCGTCACGGTGAGATTGCCCACCCTCATCGGAACCCAAGCACGGCAAATCTAGACCCACTGGACCCGTATCATGCTGCATAGAGTGTCCTTTTGGAGGTTGGCATTTTGGCGGCAGGCCCCTTCTTGGAAGAGTGCACATGGCGCCACTCCAAACCAAACGGAGAATACGGCGCTGAATTGCAGAGCAAAGGGTTTGCAAGGTCCGCGCAGTGATTGCCAACCACGCGGCCTAAAACCTCCCTCACTCCCAAGCGTGCCGAAAGCTGCTCAACATTTCTTGCAAACCCTGCCTGCTGCCCTCACGGGAAAATTTCGCCTTGCCAGCGAGGCCAGTTCTTAGCAAAGCTGGCGGCTCGGCTCATGGTGACAAGAGATCCAAACTTCAACATCCATCTCAAAGTGGCTTTGAATTTGACATCACTACTCACCATGGCACGACATGCACTCAGTCTCAGAGGACTATCCCGGCAAACGACGAAATCCGCTTTTATGAGCAATGCTCTGCGAAGGAAGTTGGAGGCGATTGCTGCTCCAGTCATTAGCTCTTGCGATTGATCTCTGGTCCAGACTCTAGCAACAAGATCCCAACTACAGCTGGACAACATTCGCAATCGAGCTCTCGCCTCTGTTCCCCAAAGTTTCTCCAAATGGTCGGAGGACTGCCTAGTCAAGAAAACAACCTGGTCTTGCAACTCCCTGCATCGAAAAAGCAACGGACATAACACGTCAGGCATGACTCTTGAGGCCCATCCGCCATGTGAAAAGAAGCTTGTCTAAACTATGCCCGAACTTAAAAATTCGCTCGGGTTCATCCTGTTATCTGGGCGTTCACCCGAAAAGGATTCAAGCCAGCCTGGCGGCAACAGGTTGGGCAACGGAGAGTTCAGCCCTGCCAAAACACGGAGTGAAGCAGACGGACTTCAAGTGAAATCTAAAAATCTTGTGCAAGGATTGTCGTGGATTACGTGCCGAAACCCGCCGCACCTCAGAACATGCGCACGTCCTCCTGCAGTGCCTGTGCGCCAGTCATGGACACAAATCTCCCTGCACTCGCGTGGTGCAGGGGTTAGGGTTCAGGTGTACAGTTTGGCGGTCCATTGTATCCTCAGCGTTTATAACTAACGTAAAACTAACTTCCAGCAGCAGTATTAATCGTGCCCTCACAAACCTATCCGCATGCTTGGTACAAAGTCATCAGAGCCTCGACATCCTGCATATCGCTGTTCTGCTCCAGCCACACGATCCCTGGAGGCTCGCCCTCCAGTTCCTGGGCGGCATCTTTCAGGGCTAGACCTTCACACCTTAGACCGAAGCAAATAACTTTTCAGGAGCTCCATTGAGAAATCTCCGTTGATGGGAATGGGCAAAAGCTGGCCACCGGTCAGCATGCTGCGCTTTCGAACCAAGCCACCCAGCATGCACGCGCTGCGCTCGCAGCCTCCCTTCTGTTGATGCCAGCTTTCTCACCCCTATGCATCGCCACTGGGGGCGCCCTAATCGCCCTGAGCGCTGGGCCTGCTCCTGCAGGGCCGCTTCGTGTTCCGCGCACCATCTGTTCACGGTGTGCCCTCGCCTCGACGAGCATCGCGTTCTCCTCAGCAGCCGCTTTGCGGTCCCCGTGGGATGGTAGGCTGATCAGCCCAGAGTCACCACCAAGTCTGGCTGGGTCGTGCTGACAGCCGGCCCTGACTGTGCAACCCGCGCTGCGCTCTAGTGTCGACTACCTTGCCGAGTTGCGTCTGCCCCACCAGTTGATGGCGCTAGGGTGACTGCTATGCACCTACGAACAAATGCGCTTTCGAACCACATTCGTTGACGCTTGTTGTCATAATTGTCTTAAGATCCGCTTCGGCAAGGACTATCGCGTGGCAGCAGCTTTGATACTAGAGTGATTCCAAACAGCATGCAGGATTCCAACTGATTCATACTGCAAGTGCAATGTAAGGACTGCCTTGAATCTACGGGCCGGAACCCATCACGGAGCATAATTCATCACAATTCCAATTGCAGTTCCAGCTGCAAACCTAATCGTAATTAAGGGCGCTGCTGTAGGGACTTTTTCCTAGTGTGACCAGGCAGCTGTTCGACAAAGTGGCTGAGGGGCGGGGAGGCAACAATTACAATTTCAGGCTGGTGCCAGTGACACATGACTGCTGGAGGCGCCAATTGCTGGCTTGGCAACTACGGTTGTTTGCGTGGGCTAGGAGCGGGGTGGAACACCTTAGGAGCAAAGACCGAGTAAGCATGCATCACGCACAGCACGCGCAGCTTGTCCTTGCTGCATGGGCGAACATTCAGGCAAAGCCGCAGGAGTGAAACAAAAAGAGCGTCATGGAGAATGATGTCTCAGCTTGGATGGTGAGGAGGGACAGGGAGAATTGACACAAGAAAGAACATAGAGCAACTGCTCCGGATCTCAATCAGCTTTCAACAGGGGAAACTATGCCCTCTGCAGTGGTCTACTCCAAATGGCGCAGTTATACCAAGGCTTGTGCTCCAGAAACAGATTTCAGGTTATTCAGGGGTTATGTGGCAGCTCGTCCACACATCGCACCAGCAACTTTGTGTGCCAATCTCTCTGAGCTTGCCGCTAGCTCCATCTCCTCCAGATCGTCTCCCCAGGTCCAGGCCTTCAAGTGAAGCACCTCAAGACCTCCTATGACCTCCTGAAACCCTCAGGAAGCTGGTAGCCTCGTTCCCATTCTGCCATGTCGGCTCCTCCTGAGACAGAGGGTAGGCCAGTGACTTCAAGAGGACTCGCGCAATGTTCCGTGCAGGTCAACAGGCTAGAGCGCCGCAGCCAGAGAACTCAACATCGGCTGCGCTTTTCGACTTTTCACTCACCCCTGCCCCCCATCCTGGACTGATTGCGGATCTTCCTCTTCCTCCTCGATCTCTTCCTTGCAGCAAGGAAAGGGGCAGGAACTGGCAGGTAGCACTGCTGCATATGGGCATACGGGATAAGTTCAGTCTAGTTTGAGTTTTAAAGACAAGATGCTCATTACCTAGCTGCTGTCTTGGCTCATGCCGATTCTTGCAGTATCAACGCTCCATATGCTATCAGGTCATTGTACACTGCCGTACACGACAGCCAGCTGTTTAACCACAAAGGTGTGTGCAGTGAAAAGCACGTCTTGCTTTCAAAAGTAAAGTTCACAGATGCACGAGATGCAGTTCTCCCCGCAAGCACCTAGCCCGAACCCAGTCAAAATAAGCGCTAGTGCGGCTTGAGCTTGAGAATTTTGCACTTTGGTTTGATGCATCTTGAAAACGGATTCCCAATCACCATAGCTGATTCTCATGCGCTAAAACATCCTTTTCCATCCAAAGCACGAAATTCTCGGTGCTATTGCAACAGGCCTGTATCAAGTCCTCACAGCAGCGACACAGAGTCGAAAGATCGCAGAGCTAATGTCACTCCGCACGTGCCTCAGCTGATTTTCTCGCGTCCAAAAATGGGCTTGGAGCGAGACGCTCGTTTCCCGCGCATCTGCCAACATCTGCGAACAGCAGCGAGGCCACTCCGCAAGTCACGTACCCTGACTGGGAGACTCAGAGAAAATGGATCGTGTGCCAGCGTGGGACGACCTAGCCGTGCGAGCGTCAAACTTGCGCGAGAGGTATGGTAAGTTAGCCAGGAAGCATCACGCTGGACCGGAAATCCCTTTTTGCGTCCACGATTTGTATCTATGGATTCACCATCTTCATTTCGCTCCTGTTCCCTAGCCGGCCTTACTTCAGCATACTTCAGCCAGTCCAGTGCCAGGAAACCCATGACTTGAACAGCCGTTCCAGAGCAGCTGCCCAGTGCTAGCAATGCCCAGAGTACGGCGACATGCGCGTTGCTGACCAAAGCCAACAAGGTGGCTGGGCATGAGAAGCACGAGAGCTTATCCGGCGGGCTTCAGGGAAACTGTCGTCCGCTCAGGTAGGTTCACGGTCAACAGCCCAGTGCTCAACACTGCCTGCTACAGCCCCTCCCTCTTGGCAAAGAGCCTCTGATTCCCGTTGCCGTCGGCGCTGTCGTGTGCGTGCCTCCTGAAACGGAGCCAGCCAGAATCACGCAAAGCAAACCGTGTGAACCTCTACCCAGCTCAAGAGTGCAAGTCAACCCGTGCTGTGAAGGAGCGCCTCTGCAAGAAGCTGCCTCAGCGGTCAGTTAAAGCACGGGAAGGATGAAATCAATCGCCTTGTGCTGTGCTTATGGTCCTAGATGGACCCTACAACCCAAGGCACGTGACAGGACAAATGAGAATCACGCAGCACGCGAAGTGGGACTGCCATTCGCTGATCTCGTTCATGGTCAGCATCATCTGGGTCACCCTAGACAGGATGCAAACGTGACGAAGTCCATTCAGCTCTTTCATTTCGTTTCCGGGACATCATCGACAGTCGAGACGAAACATGCTGCACGCCCGTTCGCTCAAGAAAGGCCTCGACGCCAATTGCATGGCGCTGTCCATTACTCCAGACCTTGCAAAGGAGCGATGCCCAAATCTATCCACCATGACTTCGCCAGCCATCAGCCCTGCCTCGACCAAGACATCATCGCCAAATTCATCCGAAGCATCCGGGTTGGACAATGACCTTGTCTGATATACTGAAGCTTCAACGCCTTACATAAGCTGAACAGTACTGAGGGCTGGGCCACATGTCTACAGGAGGCTGTGAGGGCCCAGAGTCTGGCGTGCTCCTTATTCGTGATGTTAGCTCAGACTCATCAGCCCCGGTTCAAAGAGCGACACAGCGTGACCTCTTTACTTCTGCAAGATTTCTGCAGTGAAACGGCCAACAACTTTGTGAAGGCAAACGGAATTACACATGTCAATGGTTCAACTAATGAGTTGCGGGCGCAGTAGGCGCACGACCACGCTGCCCAAGCAGGTGATAAACCAGTTCGGGTCCAGGCGTGCCACTGGCCTGGCCTTCTTCCGTCAATTCCGTGCGCCACTTCTCGTTGGGCCCGTCGTGCTCGTAGTTCATCACAGCATGCAGGCCGAACAGAAAGTCCTGAGTCCACGCTGGAAGAGATCCTGCCAAACAGGGATGCAAGTTCACATATTAGCTCAGCAGTGGGAATGGGGAGGTTGGGTGTCAGGGAAGCAGCACAAGCCGGCACCTTGCACTGGCTGCTCGCACGGATCCAGCAGCATGCCCATGAGGGTCAATTCCACGAGAATGAACATGCAGGGTGCCAGAAAGGAAGCGGTTAACGCCATGCCGTATGCAAGGAGGAGGAGGTTGGTAGACACCATGACAGTCAGCAAGTGATGGTAACGGAAAGGCCTGCTGACCTCCAGGGTATCCTGAAGGTCCTGATGGCACTCCTTGAACTTCAAGATACGCCCAACGGCGTCCTTCACAACAAGGTCACTGTTTTTTCTTGTTTTTGAAGCCTGAAGGCCTTTCTGGACAATCTCCCCTGTAATATGAAGGATGGCCAGGAAGCGTTGCTGGTTGCTAAGACCCCGCAAGAGATCCACATCTTCCTGTCTCACAAGGCCCCGCGACCTGAGTTGTATCCACTGCTCGTTGGAGACCTCCCCATACTGCACATCGATCACAGCCAGCAAACAGGCTAAGGCCATCCAGCGGCAGGCAAGCCGGTCGTAAGGCAAGTCAAGGCCACGCATGAAGAGACGTGACTGAGAGGCAAAGTCGTGTACCGCGCCAAACATGCGCTTGACAATAAGGCAGGTCTGTTGGTATCTTGCCAAAGACTGATTGGTGAAGAAGGTCAGAAAAAAGCTAGTTATCAGCGTCAGCATCCTGAGGTCTACCCAGTCGACATCCATATTGGAAACGACGTAGTTGTCAACATGCAGCCAACCTTGCTGATACGCTCCCCAAGCTGCCAAGTGCAGGCCCAAGAAGAACCAGAACTCTGATCGAGAAAGCACACGTGCCACAGCGGTGCCAGAGAGATGATACGTCGTCGAGAATAAACTCGGTTTCAGGTCAAAGGTCGTGTCAGTATCCATCACGGGACCATGGCTTTGCTCAGATTTGTCAAGGTTCCAAGCTGCTTGGATTCGAGTATCTGCAAGCTGGGAGCGTGGAACTGCATGCTTGCGGCTGGTTATGCCAAATGCGTGCAACGGCGGTCTACATCGGCTTGCATCAACTATCCCACCACCTCTGATTGAGCTGGAAAGCGCAGCATACTTCAAATCTCTACCTGACAACCGCCTTGAGTTTGCTTGAGGCTAGGAGGCTCTGAGAGTGTGGCTGGGAAGATGGAGGCCTTGTGGATGAAGAGTCATCTGACCTGACGGGGCTCCGCGGACAAGTCGAAGATGAGTGAAATTCACGTACACAAGCAAACATCACATATATCACATCTCTTGCTCCACTGTGAAGGTGCTGAAGAGGAAGCAGGTCTTAGTGCAAAGGCACCAACCCTTCTTCCATATCCTCCTCAGGCGCCAGCATACGACTATCGGAACACCCCATGATTGTTCCAAAGTATTAGTGCAATGCGAACGCAGGTTGCGACAGCTTGGGGGTCCTTTCCATTCTTTTCCATCGTGAGGCATGATGCCGTCTGGCGCATGGTTGCCAAAACGGCTCCGCAGACAGACTCTCCAAAAAAATTGTTTGCACACCTCCGTCTGCACCGCGGGCTGCACGCCGGAAGTTCCAGTTCGAGACGGCTGCCCCTCAACACAGTGGGGTTTGAACGTGAGAGCTCTCAAGATGGACTTATCTTCCAGCCTCAAACCATCTTCTCGAGCACCACGGGATGATGTGCTTTATCCAGAGTTCGGCAGGCAGTCCCACAATGCCTCTTGCAAAGCGTGTCAGACGGCAATGATCATGAGCACGCGTGTGCTGCTGAACAGCTCGGATGGCCTTTGTGTTTGGGCTGGCAGAGCAGGCCAGATGCCACGGCCTGCTTAAAGGAGGCCTCAGTCGACGTCTGGCAAAAATCATGAGCCCCTTGCTTCCCAGGTGGCTGCCGCCAGCTGTGGTTGGGTCACTTCATGGTTTGCTGAAGGGGTGATTCATGCAGGTCGTCCGTTTCGCCATCCAGTAGACAAGTGCCAGACTGGATAAAGCCAGCTTCTCTCCGGGGTCCTCAGAGCACTGAAGAGACACATGCAGATCCTCGTCCGTACCACCCGCAAACGCTCACGGCACTTGTAGAGTGCAGCTCTTTTCGTCACACACCACAGCTGAGGCTGAAGCCAAGGGCTCTCCAGGAGGGAGAAGGTGAATGGAACTCCGGGCAGTCCTTCCGCTGAAACCAAAAACAACTGTGGAATGATGATCGGATCCTGCTGGCATTGGCCTACGAGTTGATGGTTGTCGACATCCGTCGCATCGCCTGGGTAGCTGTCTGAGCTCGGCAAGCAAGAGCGCTTGAAGTTTGCTGTCAGCTGACAACTTTGCATTCGGGCACTCTTGAAATGCTTTGCCTATCCCTTAGCTATGAAGCTCTCTGACGGAGACTTGCACCTGCTCACTGAGAACATCAACTACCGGCTCAAATTCAAAGGACATCTGCGGTATTGCACTTCACAATAAAACCCGGACTGCCCCGCAGGACATCATCCAAGAGCTTGCTGCCACAAAGGTCGTACCACAGGCGGACTTCTACTTCTACCGCAACATCCTGCTGCCATATGACCGGAAGATACTGTTGCAGGAGTAGTCGTGCCACTTTGAGCCTAGCACGGAGATTGGAATTCGCGCGACAACTTGAAAACTCTGCACAATAATGTTGTCTCAGTCATCTCGGAGCTCTGCAGAATTGTGTAACTCCTCGGTATGAGCTCCGGCTCGAGGCGGAGGGGCAAAAGCACCTGAAGCCTGGGATACGTCGCGGAACCCCAGTGCAAGTAGCTTGTAAAACGGGGACCCCTCTCATTTCAGTGTCTGGGCCAACTACCATAGATCGCGACGCGCACTGCATGGGCTCCACAAGGCATGCAAACTGGACCTAGGCAACGATGCAGCACAGGGAGCTTTCTGCTACGATCTCCGCTTGCACTTGACTGGAGACTTCATGTGTACATAACTACATAACCACTCACTTTCTTACTCATGTGAGGCCGCTGCGGATCCGAGCACCTCCACGAAGAAGTGTGTCTCCTTCATCCAACCAAATGGTCAGCAGGTACGCACAGCCAGCAGAAAGCTGCTGTCCGTCTGCCGCACTACCCGGCGAAGCTGTTGGCTGTGTCCCACCTGGCTTTACAAAATCCCTGTTGAACCGACCGCATGTGACATCCTCAGACTAAGATTCTGTGCCTGGAAGGGTCCGATCAGAACGCCACCAACCTCGAGCAGCCTCTGGCAGCCGTTGTGCTGGCAAATCCAAGAATGTGGTGGCGGTGCAGCCTGTAAAGATACTTGGATCTCGAGTTCGCGCAGGCACCAATGTATATTCGATCATAACCTGAGACGCATCACATTGAATCACGAGTAGTGCCTTATGAGTCTAGGATGTCCTGTAGCAGAACTAAGATGCCAACGCATTGTTTCATTCACATTCAGCTGGTAAATGTTGCCCGTGGTGAACTGTATCGTGCTCTTACCTGGCCAAACTGCTCAACTTTGGCTAGGTAATTTACCATTGAATCCACATCACTGCCTAATGCCGCGGCTCGCTCTTTTGCATGAGCCACGGTCTCAGGCCTAGTTCCAACGATTCTGAGCTTAGCCGGCCTTCCAATGCAATCGTCGGCAATCACTCTTCTGAGGAACTCGCCAGATCTCGACTCCGTGGTTGGCTGCATGCGGCCCAGTAAATTCTGACCTATTACACCAGAAGCACGTACAACTTTGGCATACCGAAAGATTCACAGGGGCCATGCACGATGGAGTTGAAGTATCCAGTTCCCGATCCTTTGCATGACTTCGTTGCAAGTTGCCAGCTGACCCTGGCCCATTGCTAACAACTTGAACTACTCCACACTATCTCACAGTAGCTCGAAGCAGGATCAACACACTGGACAAAGGCACAGGCCGATATTCAGAAAGGACATGCCAGGCCTAAGACCGCACAAACCCTGCCCGGCTGATGCCAAGAAAGGCACAAACTGAGGCAAATGAGCGCCAGCGGGGCATGTGGCATGCGCATTGCGTGTCAGCTCTCGTGGTGAGACGATCCGAGGTGAGTGCTGAAGAGGCATCAGAGATTCCAGCGCCTGCACTAGGGCTAGGGAGCGTCATTGCATAGGACTGAGAACTTCACCGCTGAAAGCATTGCAAGGCCTTGCCATAGATGTGAGGCGCAGAAAGATGGAGGCGGCCATGGCGCCTAAGTCGTCAAAGGGTAAATCGAGCCGTGTCTGGTAAACTCCCAGGGCTTCGCAGGGTGGCCCACAGTGGCATGTCGGCATAGGCCAGGTCGCCTCCCTGAGCTGGCCAGAAATGGCCACGGTCCACAGCCTTGCCCAAACAAGAGCGTTGCAATCTGAAACAATGAGCCATTCTGGCCTTGAAGGCATCGACGCACTCCGCAGTTCGTAGCGCATGGGATTCCTAGGTCCATGAACTGTTTTTGCTTTGAACGCCTCTTCTCTTGCATGCTGCTAAGCATCAACGAGTTCATCGACCATGGCCTCATTGTTGGCGTTGAGCCCTCGCATTTCCTGCTGATGGCTCCGGGCACCCCAGGGCACACCCACTGTGGATGTTCTCGCGCTCTCTTTCAAATCAACTTCGGACAGCTTTACACAACAAAATACGTTAGCGAAGTCCATCCAAAACACAAACGTGCCCTTGAGCAGAGCTGCCTCGAATCTGTGCCGTCCAAAGTGGAGCCAAGCAGTATGCGGATCACCCATGGGTTCGCCTGGCAAATGTTCTGTCTGACAAGCGTACATGACACAGGAAGCTTCGTTTAAGTGCCTCGGACGGGAACAAGGGGGGAGCAACTTGCCCCTGAGGAAGGCTTGTGACTATGTACCTGCGTCAGTTACAGGTTACATGAAACATCTGACAGCTGGATAACACCTTGCTGCGAGGGAGCAACTTAAGGCAGCCAAGCCACAAAGCAAGCCCCACCCCCAAGTCCGCCAGGCTACGGTCGCGATTGGCCACTTGACGAGGGACAGCAAAGAATTAAGTTGAGGGGCTGAAAGTGGCGCATGTGACCAAGATCCTGAGACACTTCTGAATCATGTGCTTTCAAGCAGACATATGATAGATTCGTTTTTATTTTGAAAATCTCCAAGTATGTGATCATCCATCCTCCAATATGACATGCCATCAACATTCTTGTATCATACTCTGTTGAGTAAGAACGTAAGAAGAACAGAAATTGATCATATATGAATAGTGTACAACATGTGAAGAATAAAGCATGCTTCGTGAGACTAAACAAGGCAACCACAAAGAAAAAACCGAGCACCGTGTATCAACGTGGGACAAATCTCAGTACCCTGAGCATTTCCACGAAAGGCCGAAGCCGGGCGCGCCTTCATTTGAAAGGCAGCTGTCTCAATATCACATGATCTTTGACTTGTCGCAAATATTCTATGTTAGACGCATCAAAGATGACCCCTGGCCCATTCATGATTTCAAAGGTGTCTCTGTAAGATTCCGTGATCCAGTCAAACTTAGGGGCCGTCCTGAGCGCCTAGAGCGAACAGGTCTGGGACGTAGGTTGTCAACATCAAAAGATACCTGGTTGATTGGGTTTTGCTGGGCTGGCGCGTAGCACAAAGAGTCTCATCTTCGCCTTTTTGCCACGTGATTCCAAAATGCTCAAAGGCAGAGCCATCAATTTCCCGAAAATCACGGTACATTCCTCTCGTTGGTAGCTTGACGGTCCATGAATGTTGGAGGCTTTCCCAGGATTCGTCTTAGAGATGACTTGTTTTGGAGTTCGCTGCGCATTTTCATAAAAGCTACCTAGAAGGCTGATGAGCTTGTTTGGCACCATCAAACGATGAAGCGCTTCAATCAACTGATCGTGCAAGACCCGGTCAAAGGCTTTCTCCCAATCCAGTAGAATCAGCGTGCTGCTACTTTTAGATTTCTCAGCTATCTCCTGCATGCGTCGTGCCACGAAGATCGCCTAGCTTGTGGATTTGTCTTTGCCAAAACCGTATTGAGCTTTCATTTCACCAGGGCAGCAACGATTTTGTAAGAAGAGCTTACGAACGAAATTGGCCTGTAATTCGCCCACGAAGAGGAGTCTCGTTTCTTATAAATGGAGACCACGATCGCGTTCATGTACATTTGTTGTAAACGACCATTCTCTAAGCATAGGTTAGCCGCCTGAAGCAAGAGTGATCTGTTTTCCTCATTGAGCAATTTGCAAAATTCACCACATATGCCAATACCGCCTAGGATTTTGTGTCTCTTTATTTTGGACAGGATTAAGTCAAGTTCCGCATCAGTGAAGGGACCATCATTAATTTAGTAAGATCCATACTGGAGCGGAGAGTTAGGTCGTGACTCTTCTCTAAGATTGCCTTCTGATATTTTCCACTGTGCATTTTCAAGGTGATCCGCTGCTTTGTGGGGGCAGCAATTTTAACGGGACGTGATTGCCTGAGGAATCTTTGAATGTTATAAATGTGGGCGTAGATTTAGCCCTCATCTATGCAAGCCACCCCATTTGTATGCTTAAGTTGTAGTTTCTTCTAACTGTTCTAGCAAGTGTTCTTCCTTATCCTGGCGTACACCTTCTTTTTTTTGGTTTCCTTAAGGCGTCAGATGCGTCATCATCCCCAGATTCAATCGCCGCCCATTTGGCCCCGCGGAGTTGCCAAGTTGCGTGCGAGATGTGGGGTCGTCGTTGTTTAGAGGGAACGCAAACCAGATTGGCTTGAGCACAATCCGTGAGGGCCTTATTCAAAAACATTGAAATCAACAGCTACATCAGTGTCATCTTGGATCATCGCTGAAGTGTCGGAGTGCGATATCGGACTGACTGTGTGACAGATTTACTGTCTATAGCTTTCAATCTAAATTTGACGTCTGCTATCAGAAGCTTATTGTCCGCATCAATTACCTCTCGACTTTGCAAGATCTGCAAACGTCTACATTGGCAAGATCTCAAACTGCAAGCCCACTATCTTAAAAAGTCGGTGGTGCTCACTGCAAATATATCAGAGCAGGGCTTGAGCAACATGGTCAATTTCACTGCAAGGACAATACAGAACGCTCTCACAAAGCTCGTTCCAGTTGACCCTCACCACGCAAAGGAGGGGAGTAATCATTGAGGAGTGGAGATGGGGCAGTGCGACCAAATATTCCCAAAATTGTTGGTCGTACTCATGCAAGACTTTTGGATAGTTTAGATTCTCTATGTTTCCACATTTTTTTCGGAATTTTGTGAGCCTGTGCGACGTCAGATAAATGAATGCCAGAAATCTAGGCCGCACGCGAGCAAAATGGGTGACCAAGTGAAAAATAAATGGAATCGGTTCTTCCTAGCTCCACAATGTTTCTGACTTGAGAAGCACGGGCAAACAAGCCGACTGGCCCCAACAATTTTTTCAAGAGGTACAGCATCATGGCGGTATAAGTCTCTGCCCACCAGCGGCCAATCATGACACTGTGCACAAAAGAGAAGTGCTGTGTCGCGTCTGCTGGCGGCAAAATTGGACAAAGGCCAAGATGCTCCTTGGCAACTCGAAGTATCAGGCAGCATACGCTGAACTCGCCGATGCCCAGCCGAAAGCATGCTATCAAGACTTGACCACAATATCTTTCTGAACACAGCTTCCGTGGCATGGCACCGCAGGGCAGAGGCGAAAGGTCCATTAAAGCGCACCCCTCCGTCCATTCTGGACTCAGCTTCAAAGCCTGGGAGGCATCCAGCATTACTGTACTACTATTATTACTATTATTTCTATTATTTCTATTATTATCTCATTATTCAGCGCAGTCTGCAAATTGCAGCCAGCGAGATGCTTCACTTCCTCAGTTGCGAAGCAACGTGACGCAGCCAATACAACAAAACAAGTGCGTCAAAGATGCTCAAAGCAGTTCTCGAAGGCTTGCCGGATGAACGGCTTATCCAAATTCTTGCCTTAGAGGATACACACCAGTTGTTTGCAGAAGGCCAGGCAACTAGATTGAGCCGAAAATCCAATGAAAACCATCTTGGTTATTCGCTTCTCTCCAGGAGCCCATGCTTCTGCATCGTCCTCATCACTGACGTCCATCACGGCATGGAATACATGCTTGTATGGATGGTTCTTCACCGCAAGGATGCCCTTTATTCGAAAGATGACACCTGACAGGGCGAGGTCACGCATGGATTGCTGGGAGCGCTTTCAGCAGAGACTAAACTAAACCTCTACAGATTCGCTAACTTAGACCTTGCTCTGGCGGCAGCTCTCCAAGAACCTCCATCAGCTTACCGAGCTTGTCAGGCAAGATTTCTCCTTCCCGCACCAGAGCCATCGAGTTTACTCGGCTGTCGTGTCTGCTCCTTAGTGGCCAGGAGCTCAGACACAGCATTTGGCGTGATACCTCCAAGCAGAAAAACAACTGACTAATCTTAAGTTCAAACATCATCCTTTCTCGCAAGGCATCTTGTGCTTCTTGGCCGCGTGGCCATGCTCTTCAGCGTGTCCATCCCCATGCCCATTGTCGTGGCCATTCTTCTGACCACTGCCGTGACCGCCGCCGTGGCCGCCGCCGTGGCCGCCGTCGTGGCCGCCGTCGTGGCCTCCACCGTGGCCTCCGCCATGACCACCATGGCCGTGGTCCTAAATCAACCCAAGAGCTTCCATGGCGTTGCGAGGCATGATTTAGCAGATGAGCAAATACCCTAAGGCACGATGCCCTCGGGCTCCTCGTTGCAATCAGCGTCATGACCTTCACCGTGTGAGCCATGGCCATGGCCACCATGATTGTCGCCATGATGCTCCCCATGGCCTGTGCAATTGCAAAAGTCTCCATACTGGAAATCTTGCACGTAGTCAGCTTCCAGAACCAAGCGAAGCTGATCAGGATTGATCAATTGATCATGTGGGGAGAAGTATCATACCCTGCCGGGCCTCCATGCTCCTCGACCTCTGCTTCCGCAGCCTCGATTCAGCATGTGCTCAATCCATCTCTCCCGACCCTGCCTGCAAGCAAAATCCTGCAACAACCAATGATGCGCGCTCTAACCCCGCCTCTTTTTCGATCTCAGCATTGATGAAGTTTGACATGTCCTAAGCTATGCAAGAGCTGCAGAAACATAACGTCAACTACGTAAGCTTCACACATCTCAGTAACTACGTAAGCCGGGTACATGGGCACGCAGGTTTGTCAACTCCGAAAGCTTGACTCTGCCCCTGACCTGAGGGTTGGCAAGCCCTGGCATTACATGACATCTAAGCCATAAGAGGACCTGCCAGCAAGCTGAACCAGTACTGCCGCGCTAGGCCAGGCGCTGCCGGCACTATCTTGGCAAAGGCGTTGATCTCGCGCAAACGCTCCTGCTGGTGGCTGCACTGTGATGCACAGCATGAGCTATTGAAAAAACAATTCCGTTGGCCCGGCTACGCGACAAAAAATTGAGCCTTGACTTATTCTGCATGGTTTCAGCAAAATCTCCCATTATGCTCAGCAGGGCCTTCGTTCTGATGGCTTCTTCGGAAGAGACGAGGTCGAGTTTGTTCAACAGAAGCTTGTCACAGAAGGCAACCTTGGAATTCGTCAAAAACCTACACAATCAGTGAGTTAGGATACGGAAGTATGCTAGGTTCATTTCCCCAACCTAGGCATCAAGTTCATACGTGCAGCATGGCACCTGCTGGTAAGCTTCGTTGACCCGCCCCTCCTCAACCTGATACATGACTGAGATGACGAGGCTGCATGTTGATCGAGCTCGCCGAACGATGACAGTTCTGTACGTAACACACCACCTCGTCATCCAGCCGTTTCACAACGTTTTTGGCATCTGCAACCGTGATCACCTGTTCAACAGCAGTGAGGATGCTGTCACGGCTGCTGCATGGCACTAGAATATTGGTGAGGCACTCCATCTAGGCGCAGGCGGGAATTGATCTCTTCTGCTGTCATGAACCTCACTTCTCCAAACTGCAGACATGGCCTGTGTACATAGACGTCAAAGTATCAAGTGAATCAGGACAAGCACCAAATTGATTCCTATGTTGATCCTTCCCGACCCATATCGACCCATAGAAGTCCTGAATGTCATTGCTTGGAACAGGGTGCTTGTGTTGGTGACTAATACTAAGGCTGCTCTGATTCCTTGCAGAACGTTGGCAATCTTTCCAGTTTCCTTGCCTGGGAGCACTCTTCTCATAGTCTTTTCTTCTGATGATGCACGATTCTGCGTTGCCGGTGCGAAAATGGTTTTGGTTTTTTGGACTGCTCTCATCAAAAGCCTTTCACCTTCCTAAGGGATGGAAGAGTCTTTAACTAATTCTTCTCACCCAGGTGTTCTCAGCGTCTTGCATTCGGTATAGAGGGCTGAAAGCGCAATTTCGTATAGCGGACAACTCGCTGCATGGGATGGGGTCATCAGCATTCGTGTTGAGAATGCGGCCTAGTAGGGAAGCACGCTTAGTTGTAACTTCTTTTTTGCTTACTTGTAACTTTTAGGGTTTTGAACTGGATTTAGTTAGTTGTAACTCTTTTTTTTGCTTACTTGTAACTT